AATGTTTACTATTACTTTACACAATATTTCTTATGACGTATAGATGATTTTGCAACTTGATTCCGATAAACTTATATACCCCCCCCCCCCCACCGAAAATTAAAAAAAATCAAACCCTTATTTATCAATCCTTGTATCTGGTCCATATAATATTTAATATAAGTAATTTGTATTTTATATTTCTTGCAAATTGAGAACTTTCACTTACCAGGTGCCTGAGTCTCGAATCCGGATAATCCATTAAAAGTTGGAGAATCTTTGTAGATATCAACGATCTTTTCGCTGACTGTCGAAAGAGGTTTTGTGCAGGGTCCTCCCCCTGTTTGTCTCTGTGAAAGTTTGTTGTAGCTGAATTCCTTTTTTGCCGTCTGATGCATATTGGTCCATTTGGTTTTAATCTCTTTAGTAGTGCGACTTGAAACTCCTAACGCATTTATTTGCGCTGTTATATTATCCCATACTTTTTTCTTTTTCTCATTGGTAACACTATTGGTTAGTTTGCTATTAATGATGTTAATATTTCTCTCAACCAGTTCGGCTAAAAGTTGAATTTCGCTAGAATCAAAATTTTTCCCCCGATTTCTATTACATTTAAATTGAATTCCTTCGGTCATTGTAGCACAATTTTTTATGAAATGACGTTTCTTTATGTTATTACCTTCAAGACGCTCACAGACTTCATAAAATGACGTAATTTATTTTTTTGCGTCATAATTAAAAACCGCGACCATTTTGGCGGACTTTTAATTGGTCTTATAAGTTCATTTATTAAATAATTGGTACGTGTATATGTTAAACAAAGGAAACGCCCACGGAAACGCCCCCGGAAGTCGAAACGCATTGCATTGAGGGATATTCTCCTAATGTTAATAGACCTTTAATGAATTCTTAAATGTTTAATGATTCATTAACTAATAAGACTCTAATAAAGGTTTTGTACAACACGTTTTAATGCCTTCATTAACTAATGCATCATTAGGAATTTAATGATTCATTAGGCTTAATAACTCATTAAAGTTAATAAACCGTTGATACAACCGAATCCAGAATCTTGGAGAGTCCCTTACACATCAATATTATATACATGTAGTTTGAAATTGAAATACAACTGGAAAAACTATCCATTTAAAACCGAATTCACCTTTGTTTCCATGGATACAGTTAACAATTTGTCCAACCAATTATGTTGTACTATTTTTCTTTTAGAAACCAATTTGACTAGATGAAAAGAATAAGATTTTAATGCTTCCAAAGAACTGGTTGAAAATTACTGAACAAATTGTGATTTAAAATTTTCTATTTTCATACTTCATATGTTTTTAACATGTTTAATGTAACTGGTCACCATTTTGGAGAAGGGACACTTGTAACAATGTGTCGCCCGCTTCCCCTCATACATAATACAGCCATTATATTTTATGGGGGGGGGGCTGGGGGGGGGGAGGGTTCGCACTCTATAACTATTACATGTATACAGAGTAGGATTTTCCCCCGGAAAATCGAATCTGATGTGGGATTTCCGTTGGGGAAATCCTACTCTAGAGTCCCTTTTCTGTGGGGAATTCCTACTCTAGAGCCAGTTTTCCGGAGGGAAAGATTTTAGAGGGGAAAGTTTACTCTACAAGACCGGTATCTTTGAATTTGTCCACCTCAGTTCTTTCTTTGCCTTCTGACAATATTTTTTTTCATTCATAATGAACTGAATAACACCTTTCAGTTCCCTTAACGAATTTATTTATAAAGGAATCTTTATTCAAAGCTTCGACAAAAAATCTACAATATTTATGTTTGTGTTAATAGAACCTCCGCTAAGCTAAATATTAATTTAACAGTCATGATCTGTCTGGAAAATAAAATAAAGGAAATACATATAAAAAAGTTTTTCAACAAAATTTAATTATGCACTGTGATCGTGATGATAACAGTATTCTTTCCTCACAATGCTCAAATACCAATTTAAATTATTGAAAACAAACTCCTCCATGGATATATAAATACATGTAGGTATACATGTAAGACTTACCCAGCATTTCGCCTATCGGTATATATATGTGTACCCTGGTGATGATTCCAAAAGTCATTATTCTGTCAAAATTTTGTTTTCTTGTAACTCATTAAGGTTGACTCTCGTATACATACTAAACATTAGACAAATGCATGTATGAAAAGAGTCTAGGGAGAACCGTCTTGATTGCATGTAAATACGCATATGTTGTAAATTTGGGAAGTCCAGAAGTCATAAATCCGTCAAAAATCATTGAAGACGAACTCTTCATGAAAGACTTACAAATAAAAGATCAGTTCAATATTTATATGCATCTATGAAAAAAAAGGGTTGGGGAAGCCAACGTGGGACATGCAGAGGAAATTAACAAACAAACGAAATCGCAAATTTTTCTACCTTTTCACTTGTTATCCGCAGACTTACTTTGTTGAAAACCATTCTGATTCCACATACATGTATGTACAAGTACTCTGAAGTTCATATTTAAAAGATGCTTGAATTTCTAATTGACAATATCTATGCTGTCTTTGGATACCAGGTTTTCCAACAATCTATTGGAATTCCATTGGGTACAAGTTGTGCCCGATTTTTGGCAGTCCAGTTTTTGTATTCGTATGAAGCAGAATTGATTCAAAAACTTCTACTTGAAAAGAAGTCTGTTGCTGTGGCCTTCAATTCAACATTTTATTGATTCATTGATTGTATATTGTTTTAGGTCCCGTTCAATAACTTTTCACTTAAATATATAGAGATGTCACCATATACCGGTGAATAGCTTCAAACTTAGACCTAAGCTCGGTACTCAGGGCCATTAATTGAGCAGTGAAGGTTCAAATAAGTTAATGACACAAGGACATCAGCAGTCTTGTTAAAGTTAATATTTCGCAAATTCTATGGTAAATACAATGACCTCTCTATCATTAAGCAGAATGTTGACTGACATTTTTCATACAAATTATTCCATTATTTTCACACTGAATTGCCTATGGATTTGTCTGTTTACGTGATTATGCTTCCTCACAACGTCAGGGGTCCTGAGTTAACACTTTGTCGTTTTCCAGAGGAAACATGTTGAATCAGGACCCCTGACGTTGTGAGGATGGTGATCATGACAAGGGTGTGACCAGTCGACAGGGGAGACTTACTGATCTCACCTCTGATGGAATAGAGGTCTATGTTTGCTCTGCTCATAATTGCTACTCAATGGACTTTTGAGTTCGATTATACTGTTCGTTATCTTCAAATTTTATACATGTAGGACTCAAAATACATTTCTATATACTTGACGCCCTGTATTACCTTTTATTTGTTGAAAATAAAATTATTACAGAATGTGTTCAGGAATTTAATGGATAATCATGTGAAAGAGCCAGTTCTCCGTGCCCAGCCACTGGAAAATATAGGTACTTTGTCTAATGATTGATTAAAAAGTCACTCTTCAAAAGCAGTTCTCATAAATTTCATATTCTATAAAGTATTCGGCGGGTTTGACGAGAAACAGGCATGTAGTATCGGAGGGATGCCCCCTTTTTTCCAAACATTACTTTTTACTATTGAAAATTTTCATTGAAAGGCTGGTTAATGTGTGAATAAAATTTGATTATGAATGAAGTTGCCCCCCCCTTTTTTTTTGCTTTGCAATGTTCTTCGTTAAGTTGCAATTTTTTCTCTGTCCCCCCCCCCCTTTCAAAAACGACACAACGTGTCTGAGAACTATCTTTTCTTTGTATTGACTGGCGCAATAGATCACTCTGAGAAATTCCCTTACCTTGTATAATGATTGATATGGTAGATGAATCAGAAAAAGTCCTCTTTTCTTGTGGCTACTAGCGCTGCAATAAATATTAGTAAACCACTCGTGGAAGCCCGTTTTCCTTGTGGCATCTAGCGCTGTTATAAGTACTTGTAAATCACTCGGGAAAGTCACTTTTCCTTATGGCAACTTTCGCGGTGATAAATACTAGTAAACCACTTGGGGGTGCCCCTTTTCCTTGTGGCAGCTAGCGCAATAATCATTATCAGTAAACTATGGAATCCACGTATGGACCCGAATACGGACATGTAGTTCACTATTGCATCTCATCGCGCCATCGAGGTTATTCTTCCATTGAGGGCATATTATTGCGCCATCGACCCTTTAGTCGATGCGATAGTGAATAACGTAGTCCGGATTCCATAGTCTTTCCAGCATAAAACCTTTCAAAATACTGCAAATTTTGTAGGTACGTGTGATAATAACAAATATCAATGCACAAATGATTTACTCACTGAGACAAATGATTTGTAAAAGCCTCACCCTTTTGCGAGTTTTACTCGTGTTTATTGAAGAAAACACTGATGCGTTTAGAAATGAATAAGTTGAGTACAATATTATTACATCTGATTTAATATTACAATTAAGTAACACGTTAACGAGTAACCGAGTAATAAATATTTAGTTGATGGTCGGTATGACCGAACGATAGTCGAGTACTCGAATACTCGTTGACACCCCTAATCCAGATATATAATATCCGTAATAAAGTCCAAAGGTAGTGAAGATTATATCTTATTTTATTCTCTTTAGCTTCCGCTTGTACCACTTGTATTACTTGAAATATCCATTTTTCATTAACTTCCCTGACATGATGTAATATTTAAGGAGGGGGATTAGTAAGTTATAAAACTTCTTTGTAACCCGTTTGATTTATTCAATAAAATTATGTTCAAAACAACCATAAATGTTGCCTATTTATTTCAAACAAATAGAAGAAATAGTACACCATAAATGGTTTTTGGTCTCATTGCATACAGACACAGAAACTTAGCAATGAAATATTTATAAATGTTTACAATGTTAAATTCTGAATAATTAATGAGTGATCAAATGCAGCTATACAGAATGTCACATAATTGACATAATGTGGGTGTGGGATCAAAAAATAAATAATTAATTATCACAAACAAGAGCTTGCCTTAAAGCACTTTCATGTCCACACATATTACATAAATAAGTTTATTCCAAAAGAATGTTCTTTATTTCTTCAGCGTAACGGCTTTGTAGCTGTTTATGTAAATGAACACCATCGCAAAGATCTTCCCTGTTGCACTCCTCTAGTCCATTTAAACTCCGAAAAGTTATGACATCGTCATTTTGAAAACTTTTTTGTAGACACAGGTTAATTATCGTCCGCTGGATTTCATACCCCTCCACTGACATTCCACGAAGTCGATATCTTTTGAACAGTCGACCTAGTATCACCTGGTCAAGGTCTGGAATAACCCTAAACGCGTTCACAAGTCGGATAATGTCCTTAACTATTTGAAATGGGTCACTGTTGAAGCTGATGTCATTTTCTCCGATTTGAATAAAAATTTTCTTTGGTTTTAAACGGATCATTTTTTGCGTGATGTTATGGAAGAGAACTTGTCGTGAGGTTCCTCCATTTAATCCAAAGCAATGCACTGGAAAATTTGACGTGTCCAGGGTCGGGTGGTTGGCAACGCGGGCGATAAAGCTGTGTCCGAACAGAGCGAAAGACATTTTTTCTTAACCTGAATCGGTGAGAATCCTCGCTGAGTATATATATATGAAACTTACTGAGTAATGATCTTTAAAAATTTGACCTCAATTAATGTATACTAATTACAAGACGATCTGTTTAATTGGTATGTATTGTCTTCTTCTTGATGACGCGCGGTGAGTGAACGTTGTAGTAATTAGCATGTTTATGAAAGAACATGGACAATTAAGAAACAGGACAGAAGGGTGGCAGGCGGACATGACAAACACTGTATACCCCGGAAATATTCATAACGGGGCATAAAAATTCAATTGTTTAAAAGGTTTTAATATATATATATATATATATATATATATATATATATATATATATATATATATATATATATATATATATATATATATATATATATATATATATATATATATATATATATATATATATATATATATATATGTGTAGTCTTTTTTTATTTCATAATATACAATTTTCTATTTGAGTAGATTTAAGTAGTTAACTTTTATACTTAGAGTGAATTTTTGTTTATCGATAGCTATAGGTAGCCTAATGGCGCCCTAATAATATTGGGTGTCTTAGAGGCCTAATTATGTTAGGTGGTAAGAGGCCCTATAACTTGGTGCCCGACACCTAATGGTGGCCTAATCATGTTAGGTAGTAGGAGGCCCTATTATTTGGGTGCCTTATAGAAGCCTAATAGAAGCCTAATGGATGCCTAATAGAAGCCTAACTATATTGGGCTGTCGACAGGTATATATACAGGGTGAGAGAATGTGCGGCAGGCACTTCTCTTCTATTTCTTGATTTACTACCATGTTATGTTGATGTAAATTTCCATAATACAATTCGTTCTACAACAGCAAAGTGTTGTTCTTATTGATCTATAAAGATCTCAAAATCCTACGCATGTGTTGCGAATAGCACAGGATCCACATAATTTTGTGACTTGTCTGGGGTTTAAGCAGATTTGGATATAATCACAAGCTACATTACCCTCAGTTGCGTTATTTATTTTTTGATATTTTCACGAGTGAAATAAATTCCATATTCATCTACAAAATATTGAATTTTCTGTTTATTACATTTTCTGTGGATTTTCCCTGTGCCTCTGTCTTTTTTTAACACAGTGTCATAGGCTTGACGTCATACATGTAGTTGAGCGGTTGAGACGTCATAGCTTAGCAGTTGTGAGATTGAAAACATTACATAGCATGGATTTTAGCAACATATTTGGGAAGAAATTTGTAGTTTTAGCTCTATCAAGATAGTTTGTTACTATCTCTATATTATGACAGGCCAGAAATTATTTTTTACTTACTTTGTATCCTTTCACACTGTGAGAGAATATCACTTTTATTTAATAAATAAATCACAGTATTTCACTGTTGAAAATGTAATATATATATATATATATATATATATATATATATATATATATATATATATATATATATATATATATATATATATATATATATATATATATATATATAATAATAATAATAATAATAATAATAATAATAATAATTAAGAGATAATATCAGGGACGTGTATAGGTCCCTGATAATATCAATCTTTCCATGCTGAAACCGTATTTCAGAAGATATGATAAATAACCAATAAGAGATAACCTTGTCGACTGAATTACAATTATGCAACTAAATACACCCATACAACAGCTTTTGTGTTTCTGTTTGGCATGATCGCAAACTTTTCTGACAACTTTTCTGTACATTTTATGATAGAATTTTGAGTCCAAGCATTTTGTCGGTATATCGGTATTACAAAAACGTATTGCAATACGATATTTTTTGTCAACATACCGCAATATACCGGAATATCGGTATTATTGCCCAGTCATAATTTTTTCTTCATCATCGACTTATTTGAAGATCGAGTTAATGAAAGAGCATGTACCGCACAAACTTCCGGTTGTGAAATAAAACTAAAACTCTGCAGCTGAGCTGTCACGTAATATTGTTTAAGTAACAAGGTAATAAAAGCGGGTAATGATTTACGATCCTCACGTATTTAAATGATGTGTATTCCAGTTTTGTGAAGATAGTACACCCATTACAGTTCTTCAGTTGTGTTATGTTTGGAGAGGTGATAACTCGAGAATATTTGCTCTTTTACCAGACGTTTGCATGGGTTTGCTTGGTAACAGAGTGTTAATTGTGTCAAAGTAATTATTTTAATTGTCAAAGACAAGTAAGATGGTTAGAGCGAGTGGTTAATGTTGGGGTTCAAGTCAACTCGTACCCTGATTAACTTGGTCATCTTGAATTCAATACGTCAACTCATAACTAAAAGGCAGAAGTTAACTTGTTACCAAGACTGTGGTTGTGGGTTGACTGTAAATTTAAGAGGAGAATTTAAGTCGGACCATACCCTGTCTTATGTCTGGTTACAGGTTGACCGGAATATTTCAGTGTGTTTTATTTTTCACATACATATACAGTGTACTACATTGTACATACAACAGGTTCGGCACAATCTCTTGATTAAGCTATATAGCTTGATTTAGCTATATTGCTCTATTAAGCTATTCAAAATAGCTTGATTTAGCTATTTTATCACACTTTTTTCTCAAATGTGTTATTTTCCAAGTATGCACAAAAATTTGCACCTTGGTGCAGTGATGACATTCAACCTTGAACTCTTATGAAAATAATGCATGTAAAAACCACTCATAAAATTGCGTCTCCTTAAGAGACTTTGTACTCAAAGTTCTAAAAGTTTTGGGGCTATATAAAGCAATTGATACAATTACTTCTTCAATGAAATTATAAAGGAGGCCAATTATGGTCAACAAGATAATTGATTGGTAATAATTTAGAACAATGAGAAGCATTCATACTTATCCATGCCTCAATGCACACAAGGTAGTGTACAATTACCCAAACAATGGAAATTCATCTTTTGCTTAAAAGTATTCAAATGCTGCAATGTTAGAACTATCTTTGATTTGGGTTGTTGATTTGATAACCCATATTACATATATGAATAGTCAAATACTTGCAACTTTTTGTCTATTTTGTACAAATAACATTTTTGTGAAAACCTGCATATAAATAGCTTTATCAAGCTATTTTGAATAGCTTAATAAAGCTATATATCTATTTCAAGCTATATAGCTTAATCAAGAGATTGTGCTGGACCTGTACAAGATTCAATTTTAGAAGAAGAAATGAATCTTAGAAAAAATAATTCTTAGTAGTGATACATTTTTTTTTTTTTTTTTTTTTTGTGAAATTTGTTTAGTTCATATAATATTGGTGCATATGAAAAACATGCTTCTAATTAATCCTTTTCAAATGAATTTCTTAATATACTTTTTGTCTAGTATGAGAGTTTTTTTTTATGAGTAATTAAACAGAATGTTGTCAAATTCATATATACATATTTCATAATAATATACTAATTTTTAAAAATAGAATATGAAATTTGCATCATTTTATTAAAATTCCCTGGTTGAAAGACCAAATACCATGATTAGGGCTGTCACCAGGTTTCTGGAAAGGGGAGGGGGGTCTTTGAGGGTTACCACTTTCTCTAAGCCAGATAATTTTTATGAAAAGGTGCAATTTTGTCAGTTATGCATGGTTTATTTGGTAGTAATTTTCAAATATTGAATAAACAAAATTGCCTTTTTGGTTACAAGTTGACATATGAGGTTCAAGTTGACTTGGTTACAAGTTGGTCCGGTTACAAGTTGACCAGAAACCCCATTGGTGGAAGCGTAGATAGAAATGATTGTCCTAGGAGTGCAATTGTATTCATTATGAGGCCCCATCAAATCCTCTCTAAGCCAAAAGTCTAGAATGTGACATCACATTATTTGTCATACATGTACTCATTTTTAAGATATACTTAAATTCTTTGAAGTCTGTATTTTCATGAATCGACCTCATCAGGACATATTTGTATATTATGCTCTAAAGAATTATCATTGATCGTCTCCATAAGAGAAAAATGAATGCATAAATATTTTACTCTCATTTAATATAAGCTATTGTCTGCTCTAGATATATATTAAAAAAGTAACTTGTTTTGTTAAACAGTAAATTTAAGTCATCATGTCTTTGAGTAATTTATACCTGTCATAATCAACATCAAAACTGCTGTATAATTTCAGCACATGTTCTAATAGTGTCCATATTGAATTGCTTTTCCAAAAATGGAGAAACAAGTGCCAAATTTCTTATGTCAACTCTTACTATACAACTTCACAAGTTACATTTATTATAATTATCTTGTTTTTTAATATTTCAGACATAGAACTGTTGTAGATTAATAGGGTCAGCTTGTCAGAGCATGACCTGTCATCTGATTAATTATGTATTAACTTATCTTTGTTTTTATAAAAATTAAAGAAAAATGTTAATTTGTTAATTAATTTAATTGTTTAATTAATTTGTTAATGTTAATTTCATTTTTTTTTCGATTTCAGAAAATCTGCTTAAGAAAAATCTTGTATGGTTGTGTAAAGTAGAGAATAAATGCCAAAGAAGTTTAAGGTAGTATTCTGTTATATATGTATACATGTATTTGATATTTTGTTTATTACTTTAAGAATCCAGCTAACATTACTTTAAACTTGTTCAGAATCTCTTTAAATTTTTTATGTTTTTAAACATTGAATATAGTTTTATCTTGCAATGAATTCTTATGTGTGTATGTTCTCAATTTATATACTAACAATTAAAATAATTTCCATGTAGAAACTGTTCAAATTGCTTTACTTCGGTCTGAATATTGTGTTTTGTTTATCAAGGGAGAGAACAGCAAGGCAGCTGAGGCCCGAGCCAGAAAGGCGTCAGCGCAGGCCGAGGCTGCTGAGAGAAAACAGCAGGCCATTGAAGATGAATACTGGAGAGATGATGACAAACACGTACTGAAAAAACAGCAAAGAAAGGTAATCATGTCAGGCCAGTATCTCAACTACTCATTTAACAGACCAGTATTTCAACTACTCATTTAACAGCAACATTGGAAAACTCAACAACTCAAAAACTCCTGTTTATGTGCATTTGAGACAAAGGCTCAAGCTTTCCTGATCAGTGAGTTTCTGGTATCTGTCTGTTCGTCATGTTTTTTTTCTTCTGTAAAGTGGACCAAATCAAACTCAGCTTGTCACAAAGCATCCTTGGGTGAAGGGGATTCAAGTTTTTTTTCTCCAAAGAAAGAGCCACACCTCTTTCAAGGGGAGATAATGAAGATATAGTGAGAATTTGGTGGCATCATTTAAAAATCTCAAGTCCCAGAGGTCAAAAAAAGACAAAACTTATATGAATATTTCCTTATATACTGTAGATTCAAATTTGTTCAAATGCTGGCCTCTGGGTCTAGGGTGGGGCCACAGTAGGGAGTCATAGTTTTATGTAGAGATATATAGGAAATGTCTTTAAAAATTTTCTTTTTTTAAGAACAGCAGTGCAACCATTGGTAATATCAATATGCTAGAATCCTCAGGTAGCTTAAAAAGTATACATTCAAGTTTGTTCAAATCATGACATTAGGGTAAGGTGGGGGTTACATTTGAGCACAGTTTATAAAATATTCCAAAAATTCAAATTGTTGAAATCATGCATGGACTTCAATTTGGAAACCACAATAAGGGGTTTGTTTTTCTATATAAATATTTGTTTGTCATGAGAAAATGGTGACTCAGGTGAGCATTGTGATCACATATAAGTTGTGGATCTAATAACCACCCTGTATTCTCAGTTTTTCAAGTGCTCTTGGCACTTAGTGGGGGGAATACAGTATATGACATTTTGTATGATCTAAACTTCATGTTAGCATTTTGTTCATGTCTTTGATGAAAGGAAGATGTCTCTTTTTAAAGGAAATGTAAAAGTTACAAAAGAAATTTTTTGTATCCAAGTACCAAAAAAAAGAAGGTATTTTTAGTCATAGTGCAACATTTCTGTAAGACTAGAGGTACAGTCTATTCAGAGACTTCTAGTCAGGAAATCTGAAGAATCAGATTTTACATTTAGATTAAAACTGTTAAAGAGACTAAATGGTGCAAAAAAAGGGAAAATAGAAAAAAATCTATGCATGGCTCATGCAAACTTGAAAGTATTGTGTTTTACTATAAGTATGTTATTTAAAAAATTGGAGGTTTCAGAACATGAAAAATCGACTTTTGTGACCCCCCCCCCCCCCCCCCCAACTATCGTCTGCCCCACACAAAAAATATTGTTTTGTTTCTTTCTGATTGTACTCTTGTGCAGAAAACAAACAAGTCACCAAGACCTAAAATCTCAAGAAATGGAATGTCTGTAAACCAAGCATTTTGACAGAATCTGCGAAAAAGTATAATCAGAACATATTCTCTGCATGCTCTCATTCAATGTTTTATACAAATTTTATGCAACAAATAAAACTCATTTGTCATTTACTTAGAAGATAACAACAATGCTGTCGATACAACCCTTGTTTTTTTTTTTTTTGTTTTTTTTTTTTTGCATAAATTGCATTCTTGCCTGCTTACAGATTGAGATTGTCAGAACTTCACTATAGTCATATTGTTGATAAATCTTTCAATTTATGATACAACCATTTAATTTATTGTTGAGGTTATTTAACTTTCCAATCTCATATCAGTTAAACTCAGGTTGAAATTTGCAACTTTTAAATGCAATTTTAGAACATTCAAGTTTTAGATTTTCAGACATTTTGTCCCCTTAAAATACCACTCATTGCCCCAAATCCTCCTGGTCAACAAAGTAATCTTTTCATAGGGTGAAAAGGAGAAGAAGAGACAAGAACAATTAGACAGGAAAAAGGAACTTCAGAAGCTTCATGATGAGGAAATGGCATCCATTAAAAAGTCTGGTCCAATTCCTCAGACCAAGGTCACACGAGCAGAAATAGACAGACACAGGGAGTTAGAGCAGAAGGCCAGACAAGGTATAGTTTACAGGTCCATTAGAATCAAGGTCACACTAGCAGAAATAGGCAGGCACAGGGAGTTAGAGCAGAAGGACAGACAAGGTACAGTTTACAGGTCCATTGGAATCAAGGTCACACTAGCAGAAATAGGCAGGCACAGGGAGTTAGAGCAGAAGGCCAGAAAAGGTACAGTTTACAGGTCCATTAGAATCAAGGTCACATAAGCAGAAATAGATAGGCACAGGGAGTTAGAGCAGAAGGCCAGACAAGGTATAGTTTACAGGTCAATTAGAATCAAGGTCACATGCGCAGAAGTAGACAGGCACAGGGAGTTAGAGCAGAAGGCCAGACAAGGTACAGTTTACAGGTCCTTTAGAATCAAGGTCACATAAGCAGAAATTGACAGGCACAGGGAGTTAGAGCAGAAGGCCAGACAAGGTACAGTTTACAGGTCCGTTAGAATCAAGGTCACATGAGCAGAAATAGATAGGCACAGGGAGTTAGAGCAGAAGACCACACAAGGTACAGTTTACAGGTCAATTAGAATCAAGGTCACATTAGCAGACATAGACAGGCACAGGGAGTTAGAGCAGAAGGCCAGACAAGGTATAGTTTACAGGTCCTTCAGAATCAAGGTCACACAAGCAGAAATACCCCGGTAGACAGACACAGGGAGTTAGAGCAGAAGGCCAGACAAGGTATAGTTTACAGGTCCTTCAGAATCAAGGTCACACAAGCAGAAATAGACAGACACAGGGAGTTAGAGCAGAAGGCCAGACAAGGTATAGTTTACAGGTCCTTCAGAATCAAGGTCACACAAGCAGAAATAGACAGACACAGGGAGTTAGAGCAGAAGGCCAGACAAGGTATAGTTTACAGGTCCATCAGACTTCATCCTCATTAATGTGTGATTTGATAAACTTTCTTTTCTTAAAATCAAAATGCATGAAAGCTTAGTTTGTCTTTGTAGATCTTTTACCATTTTAAAATAGAAAATTGAAAACAACCCAGTCACATTTACAGAGAACAATTTTAATTTGGAGAAGAAAAATAAAATACAAATATGACTGGATTTATTGCTTTAAGTTCCCATCAGTTTAGTGTTGTTTGTAAACTTTTAAACACTTTCAGTAATTTTAACCAAGTATGCAGTGACCATGGATGAAGGGAAACACTTTTTTTGAATTTCATGATTCTGATGAGCAGTTTGCCTGGGTTCAGAGTTCAGGCCTTTAACACAACTTGAAAATATTCTTTGCTTATGCTCCCAATGAAGGAAACTTGAATCAATATAGAGAACATAATGATTTAAATTTGATTGTAAACAGAAGCTGCTAAAAAACAGATGAAAGAGGAGGAGGAGCCACCTATAGAAGAGAATTTAAATAGACTCCAGATTGAGGGTCACGAGGCCAGATCTGTTACAGAGGCTTTATCTGTTTTAAGGTCGGTAGTCTTAGTCAGGTATTAATCTACAGTGTTCTTCAGGTCATCTGTAATCAGTGTCATTCTATTTATTTTAAGGTCAGTAGTGTAAGATAATCTACTGTGATCAATATCTGCATGTCTGATTTATAATTGGTAGGATTGTTCAGGTTTTCTGTGATCAGTGTCATTTTGTCTGACAAATTTATAATTTCAATTATAACAAATAAGTTAGTTGACTTAGTCAGATTATATATATATATATATATATATATATATATATATATATATATATATATATATATATATATATATATATATATATATATATGATTTTGGGAGAGGCCTACCTAAGTTTTTAGAACTTGTGTCCAATCCCTTTGATACAATAAATTTTATTCTAAATAAAACAGACAGAATGACACTGATCACAGATTACCTGAACAAGACTATATTAACATTTGCCATAACTATAGAAGTAGGGCTTTTATATGCCTTGTGGCAAGACCTTATTCTTGGCCATAACTTTAGAACAGTAGGTGCTAGGGCTTTTAGGAGTAATAAAAAATATGTTTAAGGTTACCCAACTGACCCTATATTTATCGCTGACCCAAATTTTTTTTCGTCGTAAAAATCCAGAAGTCACTAGCCGGTTAGTTTAACTTTTACATGCACCTTAATCGGTCAAGCATTTGAAATGGAAAGTACTAGAAACAAAATGGCATGTTTAATATTTACATCAATGTGTTCGTGTGTATCGCCCATATGGCAAGCCCAAACAAAAGTAAAGCACCACACAAAATGGAAAAACTGTTTTGCATTTCAGCCTATTCATGTGAATTTGTGTATAAAAAACTTCAATAAAATAAAATAAAAATCCTACCTACAGACCCAATTTTATTTCAGCATGTAACTGTAAACAAACATATTTTTTATTATGCCTTATACTTCATCTGTGTACATGTATCTTTTTGACAAGACCATCCCTTGGGTACCAACTTTTTGACCTCATGACCTTGACCTTGGAGTTTGATCTAACACTAACAATAAGTTATACTTGGCCATAACTTTAGAACAGTTTTTGACCTCTTGACCTTAGCCTTATAGTTTGACTTACATTTGAGAAACTTTAACCTTGGCAGTGAGTTGTCATATGGGGTCATTAGTATTTCACAAACACATCGTGTAAGATTAGTACAGTAATAACTTTTGAATGAGAGAAGCTAGGGCTTTCATATTTTACATGCACATTGCACATGTGAGAACACCTTTCATAGAGATTATTTTGACCTTGTGACCTATTTGTACCCAAAATTTTAACTTTGGCCTGAACTTATGCTCCAGAAGAGATGGGTCTCTCATATTTTTTTCACATGTACCTTTGGTATATCAATTGTGACAAGGCCTTTCAGATTATATTATGATATTTGACCTCAGTCATGACCTTGATCTTGAAGTTTGATCACCTTTAAGAAAATTTAATCTTGGTCGTAACTTTTTTTAAATTGAAATGTTTTATTATTTTTTGCTTGAGTATGATGGACAAGCAAGACAGGACACACAGACAAGACAGTTAGAATATGCCATAAATAATTGTATCCCAAACCACTAAGACACCAAAAGCAAGGGGCCACAATTCTTTGATTTCTTCTTGTTGATAATGATAATCTATTGAGCTGTTAGTTCTCTTCCAAATCTGTGAAATCCATGTCTCCAGTGTAAGTACTAAGGCTTCATTTAATGAGATGGAATACTCTATTCAGGCTACGAGAGTCATGTAAACCAGAGCTGTTTACTATTATGGAAATTCCATAATTATCCCAGATTTTTGTTTTGAACTACAGAATACGAATTTGCCCCTGAAATATTATGCTTCTTGGTTATGCTCTGAATTTTAATTCTTTTATTGTCATATTGTATCTTCAGCAATGATAGGAATTCACTCAAAACATTATTTCACTGATGTGTATTCAGATTGCCATTTATGCATGAATCATGCTGGCAAAAACATTATGCCAACAATAAATTACAGATGAAAAGCTCAAATTACTGACAGAAACACTTTGAAATTACTGAAAACTGCAGAATAGGGTTAACAACTCTGGTATACTTATTTAAAGTTATTTTCAAGCCGTCACTTGAACAAAAAATAACAAAGGCTCATTATCAGTAATAGAGTGTACGTGTATATAACTTTTCAAACAAGTTCACTTTTACAAGTCAGTGTTGGGAGATTTGTCAGACATGCAATCCTAACCTTGACAGAAAGGTGCCCCTTGATCACAGTGTACCCAGAACTGAATCCATGGTTATGAAAATGAGTATGAAAATCCATTCAGCTTGAACTACAATTTACAGTATTTATTATAAAAAGTTTTATGTTTACAGCAACAAACCTGAAGAGGTAGATTTACACCCAGAAAAGAGATTAAAAGCTGCTTACAAAAAGTTTGAAGAAACCAACCTTCCAGGCCTTAAACAGGAGAATCCCAACATGAAACTGTCACAGCTTAAACATATGCTATGGAAAGACTGGCAGAAATCCCCGGAAAATCCACTAAACCAGAGGACAGCAGCCTCATGATGGAGTGTGGTGTTGTTATGCAGTATCCCTGAGCAGTTTCTATCAGTTAAAATGCTACCAACAGTCTATTGTGGTCACATAAAAAAAAACATTGTAGTGGAATTGTTATCTAAATGTGTCAAACATCTTAGTTGTACATTGTATATAAGTAAACATGCGGTAAAACTTTTGTCAGGAGTTGATTTTTAAAGGAAAAACTGCTTTTGAATAGTCAAGCCTTCTGGTGCTCTTGAAAATTAAAAAAATGTTCTATTTATATATTACTGTCCTGGTGTTCAATTACATTCAGACTGGAAAGAGTTTGAAGAAAACAATCCCCAATATCAACATAAATTAATCAATAGTATATTATTTTCTTATGAAGTGAAAATTGCATTCAGTACTATAGACTTTTTAGCTCACCTGAGCTGAAAGCGCAAGTGAGCTTTTCTGATCACCTGTTGTATGTAAACGTTTCACATTTTCAACCTCTTCTCAAAAACTACCAGGCCAATTTTAACAAAAGTTGTTACAAAGCATCTTTAGGTGAAGTGGAGTTTAAATTGTTAAAATGAAGGACCAAGCCCTCTTACAAGGGGAGATAATCAAGAAAAGACAAAAATAGGGTGGGGTCATTAAAAAATACAACTGGCCCAGAAAAGCTGAAACCTTAGTGGAAGCATCCTGGGAAAGTATAGATTCTAAATTGTTCAAATCATGACCCCCGGGGGTAGGGTGGGGCCACAGTAGGGAATCCGTGTTTTACATTGAAATATATAGAAAAAAATCTTTAAAAACCTCCTTTTCAAGAACCACTGGGCCAGAAAAGCTGAAACTTATATGGAAGCATCCTGGGGAAGTGTAGATTCTAAATTATTCAAATCATGACCCCGCTGGGGTAGGGTGGGGAAATTTTGTGAAGAAGAGCAGGGCCAAAGTTACTCAGGTGAGCGTTGTGGCCCATGGGCCTCTTGTTACATATTGTTTATGTCTGATTTAAACCCAGTGCATATTTTTCATGTATTAAAATGTTAACATATCTTTGACTTTAAAAAAAAAACGCTTTTTAAATGATTAAGTTTCAATAATATTCATTTCACATACAAAAGTTAGAAACTTTAAGGCTTGATTACTGGGGAGGTGAGGGTAGGAGGCTTTAAAATGATGTCAGAATAGTAAGCAGTGCACTCACACCTTAGTGAAATATTTTTTTATGATTTAACATTATAAATCCTTGTTTGTATGAAGATTATTTTCTTGAAGAACTTTCTGTGAATATACATGTATGTATACATGTATTCAACAAGTTGTGATTATTTGTACAGCATTAGATTTTCCACTTTATACATGTACAATAAAGTTTAGAAGGCTTGTTGTATTCACTATACATGTGTACTATATACATAGTAAACAAACTAGTACCATTTACTAGATTTACCAGAGATTTGGGGGGGGGGGCACTCATTAATTCAATAACTCTTATGATTTGGATGTCGTCATGGAATCTGATAAGCTGTCTGTTAAATTGTTGCCTTGCCAACATCTTTTGAGGTAAAGTATACTTGTATCATATACATGTATATAGAGTATCACACTGCTGTTTTAATCTTGGCCCTGGTATCGGCCCAAGCGGTTGATATTGACCCAACCCCGGAGGGACACAGGCCAAGACCAAGGGCTGATACCAGGGACAAGATCAAAACAGTGGTGAGATGATATTCATATTACATGTATATATCTAAAACCAAAGGCAATAAAAGAATAAATTATCAAGTTATTTCTGCCATTAACAAAAAATTTCATTCAATTTTTTCATCGCAAGAAAAAAATTTATCTTCCTTAGTTTTCAATGTTCATCAAGTAGCTAAAGATTTTGCTTGACGAAGGTGATTAATCATGTAGAGAAAAAATTTGCTGGATTTTGTTGTCAAATAGATTAGTACAGGTGTTTTGAAACCTATTACTTTCCAAAGCACATAAAATTACAAAGATTTAAAGATCCCAAACTTTATATGGCTCTACTTTGAAAGCCTGAGGTTTATAAAACCTGTTTGTTTTGCTTTTTATTAATTATGAATTATATATATTAAACTAACAAATGACACATAATAGAAAATTTGGTATTGTCTAAATTACTGTCAAGGCAAATAAATGTCCATTTAAAAAAAAAAAATGTGTTGATGTTCTAAGTAACCAAGAATTACCAGTACCTCTCTTAAATCACAAGTACAATCATTTGGCATACTTTTTAAAAACCGCTTTTCTTAATATACATGTATTTTGACAAATCTTATTTTAGAGTACTACATATATATTTTCACTGTAATAGTGAAATTTTACTCCTAAATCACACAAACAGATATAATGTTACGAAATTTGAGAGCAAGACCATGGGCACTCCCTAGCCTTATTTGTAGATAAAATTATATCTACATTAAAACATGCTTATAAGGAAGTGCCAGGGACGGATGATTTTGCTTCCTTATAAACGTAATTTGTTATACCTGTTAAGTTCACAATATATTTTAAAGCCACGGGCAATGAAAATCAGTTCGCTGTAAGCGTCAATTTGTTATAAGAGTGTTTGCTATATGCATGTTTTACTGTACTACTATGCTATGTATAGATATTTTTATTTACAAATTAAGCTAGAGAGTGCCTATTGGCGAGACAATCCCTTTAAATGGGGGGGGGGGGGGGGGGAGACAAGAGATACTTCTGCCCTGAGGTCGAGACAGCCCTAGCCTTGGTCCCAGATGCTAGCACCTAGTCCAATACATGTATCATGGCGGATACACTACTAGGTATATGATATTTATTTTTATCGCATTTAATCCTTTATGTACAGAACACATGACAACGTTTTCGTCTCAGCAGTTTTGAACATCACAAATATGATGAAATTATGTGGATTCATCTCCCTCTCTAGTCCCTCAATCTTCCTCAGATTCTCGGTAGAGAGCTCAGAAAGATTGCTGGGAGGACAATTAAGGCACGTGAAACACATGATAGTATTAGATTTTCATGAGCACACAAAAAACATGTAAGCTGGATTTGTGATTCTATGCATGTATAAACACTATTGATTAAAAAAAAACTAATTACAGTAAAACTCGGTTATAATCAATGAACTTGGTTATAAGGAAATCTTGGTTAAAAGGAACCTTTTACAAATCCCAAAGAGGACTTGTATACTAATAGAATGAATCTCATTTATTGAGGTCCAAGTGACTTTCTTATTTATAACCGAGTTTTGCTTTAGCTATATAGACTTTTTATAAAAAACTAAAAAAAATATGCAAGAAATTGTTGGAATATTCTGATTTTCCTCCAAATTCAAAATATAACACATGGCAGAATGAAAGCCAAAACTAACACAATATACATTTATTTCTCCATATTAATATAAATAGCACAGAACAAATATGAATGTATGAAATATGGCACAAGTGAAATGCAAACATTAAAACTTAAAACAAAGATATACAGATTCAGATTTGACAACAATTTATGTTCCCTTTCATAACTTTGTCACATGTTCTGCTTCATCATTTATTTACATAATTATATGTCATTATTGGCAGTAGCCATTCACTACCACATGTCCACTGTTCAATCACTGTCAAATTTCGTGGAGTTCACATTTGTGTCTATAGATCCACCTTTATACTGTCCCTTCTTCTTCTTTGTCTTTTCACGCTTGAATAATTTCCCCTGGGTATGTTTGAGATCTCTGTTTGCTTTCTCCCCCCAGGACCCAGCAGCTCCTTTCTGTAATAGTTCAACTGAACAGTTAGTAATTTTTAGACTCTTTAAGGTAAGATGACCTATTTATATTTTATATAAATACACTAAAAATATCGGCCATTCAAGTGATTTCCAGTAAGATTATATAGGAAACATCGATCATCCTCTGGTATCTTGCACAAATGTGTTGTATTTGTTCAAGTAGCAATTCTTAAAATCTTAAATGTGAATTCTTGGGAAAAATTATCTTTCATTAAGGAGTGTGTACTCTGATGTCAACAAAAGGCCCAAGAGCCAGAGAAGCAAAAGCCATGTTTCTCATCCTGATAAATGAATAAACAAGATTTAAAGAGATTTTTAGCTCAATTGAGCTGAAAGCTCAAGTGAGCTTTTCTGATCACCTATTGTCAATCCATCTTTAACCTTTTCACATTTTCTACTTATTCTACAGAACCACAGGGCCAATTTTAACAAAAGTTGGTACAAAGCAACCTTGGGTAAAGAGAAGTTAAAATTCTTAAAAGGAAGGGCCAAACCACCTTCCAAGGGGAGATAATTAAGAAAAGACAAAAAGAGGGTGGGGTCATTAAAAAATCTTCTTCTCAAGAACCACTGGGCCAGAAAAGCTGAAACTTATGTGGAAGCTTTCTGAGGTAGTGTAGATTCTAAATTGTTAAAATTGTGACCCCTAGGGCTAGGGTTGAGCCAAAATAAGTATTACAAAGGGGAAAATCTGGTGAAGAACAGCAGGGCCAAAGTTACTCAGGTAAGCATTGTGGCCAATTGGCCTTGAGATGCTATTGTGAGCTAACCAGAAAGCCTATGAATTCAACAACACCTTGAAGTTTGATACCATATTCACAAACTAAAACCTTGTTCTTGAAAAAGGATTTATTTGTACAAAGCTGTCCAAATTATACTAAATGTGGATTATAGTAGAAATTTTTTTTTTTTAAAGAATCTCTTCTGATCCTGATTGCATATTCACCAACTATGGTCCTAGTTTAGTATCAGGCCCATAGGAAGCAATTTTACTTTGAGGGGGCACAAACATATTTTCAGTTGGGGGGGGGGGGGGGCACTACCCCAAAATTTCTTGACAAGCCAAAAAAAAAAAAAAAAGGTCATCAGACATTATTTTGAGGGGGTACAAGCATATAGTAGCTATGTTTTCTATAGTATTCTATATATCGGCAAAATTATTACACCCCCCTGGTTCCTACGGTCATGAGTATATAGTACAGAAATTACTCATACCTTGTGTACAGAAATTACTCATACCTAGGCCTCAGTAAAACATCAGGAGAGTGTAGTATATAGTACAGAAATTACTGGTACTCCTACCTTGTGTACAGAAATTACTGGTACTCCTACCTTGTGCACAGAAATTACTCATACAGTGTACCTAGGCATCAGTAAATATCAGGGGAGTGTAGTATATAGTACAGAAATTACTCATACCTTGTGTACAGAAATTACTCATACCTAGGCCTCAGTAAAACATCAGGAGCGTGTAGTATATAGTACAGAAATTACTGGTACTCCTACCTTGTGTACAGAAATTACTGGTACTCCTACCTTGTGCACAGAATCTAGGCCTCAGTAAAACATCAGGAGTGTGTAGTATATAGTACAGAAATTACTCATACCTTGTGTACAGAAATTACTCATACCTAGGCCTCAGTAAAACATCAGGAGTGTGCAGTATTTAGTACAGAAATCACCAGTACTCATACCTTGTGTACAGAAATTACTCATACCTCAGTAAAACATTGGGATAGTGTAGTATTTAGTACAGAAATTACCAGTACTCATACCTTGTGTACAGAAATTACTCATACCTAGGCCTCAGTAAAACATCAGGAAAGTGTAGTATTTAGAACAGAAATTACCAGTACTCATACCTTGTGTGCAGAAATTACTCATATCTAGGCCTCAGTAAAACATCAGGAGTGTGTAGTATTTAGTACAGAAATCACCAGTACTCATACCTTGTGTACAGAAATTACTCATACCTCAGTAAAACATCAGGAGTGTGTAGTATTTAGTACAGATATTACCAGTACTCATACCTTGTGTACAGAAATTACTCATACCTAGGCCTCAGTAAAACATCAGGACTGTGTAGTATTTAGTACAGAAATTACCAGCACTCATACCTTGTGTACAGAAATTACTCATACCTAGGCCTCAGTAAAACATCAGGAGTGTGTAGTATTTAGTACAGAAATCACCAGTACTCATACCTTGTGTACAGAAATTACTCATACCTCAGTAAAATATCAGGGGAGTGTAGTATTTAGTACAGAAATTACTCATACCTTGTGTGCAGAAATTACTCATAACTAGGTCTCAGTAAAACATCAGGAGAGTGTAGTATTTAGTACAGAAATTACCAGTACTCATACCTTGTGTACAGAAATTACTCATACCTAGGCCTCAGTAAAACATCAGGAGTGTGTAGTATTTAGTACAGAAATCACCAGTACTCATACCTTGTGTACAGAAATTACTCATACCTCAGTAAAATATCAGGGGAGTGTAGTATTTAGTACAGAAATTACTCATACCTTGTGTACAGAAATTACTCATACCTAGGCCTCAGTAAAACATCAGGAGTGTGTAGTATATAGTACAGAAATTACTCATACCTTGTGTACAGAAATTACTCGTAACTAGGCCTCAGTAAAACATTGGGATAGTGTAGTATTTAGTACAGAAATTACCAGTACTCATACCTTGTGTACAGAAATTACTCATACCTAGGCCTCAGTAAAACATCAGGAGAGTGTAGTATTTAGTACAGAAATTACCAGTACTCATACCTTGTGTACAGAAATTACTTGTACCTAAGCCTCAGTAAAACATCAGGGGAGTGTAGTATATGATACAGAAATTATTCATACCTTGTGTGCAGAAATTACTCGTACCTAAGCCTCAGTAAAACATCAGGAAAGTGTAGTATTTAGTACAGAAATTACTCATACTCTGTGCACAGAATTACTCATACCTAGGCCTCAGCAAAACATCAGTATACAGAACAGAAATTATTTTTTACCTTGGCCTCAAAGGAATTATCAGCCAGCCTTTTATCAATCAACACTTCTTCAGATCTGACTCTTCTAAATGGAACATTTCCTTTCTTTGCCTGAAAAAATGAATGCTTTTCTAACAATCATCATATAGGTACAGTAAGTGTGATTGAAGTATCTATTTATATACCTATCCATACTAAAACATTCATTACCAGGAAAGACTTTCAGCTTGAAAATACTTGAGCTGCAAATACATGCACCACATTTTTAATGTTTACACTCAAATGTATTTTTAATGTTTACACTCAAATGTTAAATGTAAATTCTCTTCACTTATACTATAGTTTATCAATGACTTGCTTGATAAAGGACATTTCTTTCCAAGTCCTGTTGTTCACTTTGACAGAAAATTTGTTTCATGCAATCTCACAAAATTGGTAGGAAACGATAAATTACAAATTGTTCACAGATTGAGTGTCCAATGTTAATGTGCCTGAAGACAGAGAACTGAGATAATAAGCTGTGTAGACTGCTAGATGGTCAGTGGTGTTGTCTCAAGTAGCTGTAGACAATGTCATTAAACATTTGAAAATATTAAGATAGATTCCTTATTTCTTTTCACTCAAAATGGCTGGTCTTGGGCATGTAAATTAAATCCCTGCATTTCAATTGATGTAGTTTACAACTGCTCCAAGTAATCTGTACCACTCATCAAGGAAATGACTGGGTGTATCATACGAGGTTTCCTCTAGAATTTTTTTTATCACAGTTACAAGTTTTTCAAGTTACCAATTTGGTATCTTGTACATCAATGTCTTGAATACCATGGATATGTGGAGCTAAGTTGGAAGTCCCAAACACTTTTTCTTTCTGTATTTTAACCTCAATTAATACATGTATCTTAAATACTTAGATAGCTCATATTTATCCCAGCCCTCTTGAGTCTGGGATTAAGAGATTTGACCAAACTGAAATAGTTTCACATGTTTTGAGTTAATTTTTTCTATAGTGAACCAGTAATACTCTAGCACAAGAGATCTTCACACATCCTTGTAGCTTAACATTAACAGAAATTACACAATTTCAAGTAAAAATGTATCATTTATTTCAGATGAAACTGGGGGTGAAATCCATGTAAAATACATACTGTGACATCAGTAAATGACTAAAACAAAACAATCAAAACAAGACAGCAAAAGTTCTCTTAAACACCGCTAACCTTTACATGTATTAAACAGGTACATATGTATTAAATCTGTATCATTTTATAAATGATAAAAATATACAACTCTATATCTCAACTACAATATGTTTGAAAAGTCAGAATGAAAGTGAAAATGTATGTAATGCATGCATAAACAGTTTGAAAATGTTACTACACTGTATTTATGTGTGTAAGATTGAGAACACAGATATTAGTCATACATTATAACACATGTCCTTGTATAAGCATTCACAGATCCAATGAAATTAGTCGTCCTTATTTTCCATGCCTTCAATAGTCTCCACTTAGAATAACATGAAAGCCTATCTTTAGAAACTCTTTCACTTGTCCACTGTCTCTGGGTAAAATATTCCACTACAACCTTTCTAGAGTGACAAATTCTCTTTTAACTGACAGCTTTTAACTCCACATCAAATATCAGTGTGGAATTGGCCGGAATGTGTCCCACTTTTGTGTTTCCATATCTGTAAGAAACATTTATACTTTCCTTTACATTAACTTGGCATCATACAAAACACTTTTTTTCCCATTTTGAATCTCAAATACCTGGGCATTTTAATTTAGTCATTTTATTTTTGTTTGTGATCAAAATCTAAGTTTCTGAAGTTTTGATACATTTTCTGATTCTTGGAGCCAGTGACTACTCACGCTTGTTGGGGAGGAATGGTAAGTCTTCTTTTCCCTCCGACTTTTAATCCTGCCAAAAAATGACACAGAATATTAAAGTAATTGTATAATCATTTTCTAATTCTATCACATTATTAAGTTGGTTGTGATATTTCCTACCTTGAAGACCCACGTCCCAGCCTTTGATCACCTCGTTCTTGCCCAATCGGAACTTGAAAGGTTTTCCTTGTGAACAGGAATCAAACTGTTTTCCATTACTCGCTAGTTTTCCAACATAATACACGCTCACCTATCAAATGAATTTTTGCCAACTTTTATTTGTCCCAGTATCACACTTTATAACTGTTCCATCCTTGAAAACCTTTCCGATTATGAGTAAAAAGTACCCACATCTGCTATATGGAAGCAGGCAAATAGCACAATTCTTTTTTTAAGATACAAATGCAACCATGTACCATGTTCTACTTTTCTTATCAAATTTCATACATATCTTCAAGGATTAAACATTTTGTATACAGACTTATCCCCAATCTAGTAATGTTACTTGTTGAAACTACATAAATGAGCATGTTGAACAATGGGAGTTGACATTACCATTTTGCCTGCCTTTGCCTCTGGTCCATGGCCAGGTTTAGTCTCCTCCATTACTATACCACCTGAGAGAACTTTCTTAGAAGGGGTAGCTGCAGCAGACTTTGGTGTTGAAGCCTGCAATTTAATGATTAATGTACAATTTCTTAATATTACATACAACAGCATCTTATCTAATGTTAAATACAAAATAACAGAATTATTCTCTCAAATTCTGTACCTCATCAACAGATTCATCTCCCTTATTATGTTTGTTCTTCTTCTTCTTTTTCTTTTTCTTTCCCTCTGTTTGTGGTGTTTCAGTAGTTTGCTTTTAAAATAAATTAAGATGAACTCTGGTAAGATTAAGATGAACTCTGGTAAGATTAAAAGTGGCTTTTCTTTTAATGTCAATTTTACAGGTTCATGACTTTCACCCATTCCCCAGTGTATTGTGCATGAATAGGCTAGATGTCATAATCATAGCAATAAAACATTTTTAAAAGAATCTATTGCTCTACATACAGTGTATGAGGTTTGTGGTATTTAGACTAACCTGTCCATTAGCAGGTGTTTGCTGTCCCTTGCCTGGTGTCTGCTGGTGGTCTTTTCCTGGGGTCTGTTTATTCTGACCTGGTGTCTGGGTTTTGGGTGAGACTTTAGCCTGAGCAGGTGACTCTTGTTTGGGAGTATTCTTGGTCTGTGATGGTGTTTTGTTGGGTGTTTTCTTCTTCGGCTCTGCTTTTTCCTGGCTTAAGTCTGTTGTTCCTTTGAGAAGGTATGTTACTTCTTCTTCACTGATATCTTCTTCATCTACAAAACAACACGATACAGATCCTGTACATCTACAAAACAACACGACACTGATCCTGTACATGTATATTCAACTTTTCATCTAATCCAAACACTCCAACTATCACCTCTCATAATATCGGATTCATGTCAATTTACTCTGAGTTTCAAAATATTGAACAAATGGCAAATACACTTGAACAGTCAAGTTAGTCTGGTTTGATACCAACAATGATCATCAGCATTACTGATAGCTAAAGCTTACCCCTATGTTTCCCATTAGTATAAGGCCTAATCCTGATCTTCAATCACTGACAGGTATAAACCTAACCTTGATCTTAACTATCAATTATAGTAAAGCCTTACTCAGCTATGTTAAGGAATACAATGGGAATGTGTATTGTATTTAATAATTATTGTAAAAATAGTAACTATTGAAATGTAGGAAAAGTAATATTGTTACTAATGATGAATACCGGGTAGGTTTGTGTCGTACTTAGTAACAGTTATACCAGTTACATGGCATGTTCAGCTGTGTGTCATGTGACTGGTGTAAAAATAGAATTGTTAGGCTGAATGTAGAAAATGATGCTAGTGCAAGGGCATCCCATTGTTTTTGGTCATAAGAATTGATACACATTAAAAGAATTCTACTTCCTTTACCTTAAAAGTGCTGGGAGCTAGTTTGTGCTGTTTGGATGGTACTTGTAATTTTTCCAAAAATACATGTAATAGCAAAAAAATTCCACTTCACCTCTACATCATAATGAATTAAAAAAAAAAATTCAGACCAGAATCAACTCCCAGCACTTTTTTAGAATATACATGATGTAAGCAATTGATATTCCATGTTTCAGCTTAAACAGTCTAATTTATGTCCTTTCACTGTTCAGTTTTATTGGGAATATGCTTATAGTACAAAATGTATTTATTTAGTGATTTTTTTTTTTTACATACTCTGTCACTGTGCAGCTTTATAAGGTCTTCACAAATTAATTCATATATGACACAAGATTTGTTTCTAAATGCTCAACAGCGTTGTTTATCAAATGGTGAGATTTTGCATTCTCCAATAAAGAATAGATAAAACAAATGCATGCAAACTTTCATTTCCACATCATCATGCTTTGTAATTTATTTTGTTACTAATTCAATTTTTAATGACGATGTAATGATTCTTGCTATTCGGTGCACCATAAGCATTATTCTGATTTCTACTCGCTGACAGCTAAGCCATGAACTAACCTATGATCTTCACTCACTGACAGCTAAGCCATCAACTGACTTATGATCTTCACTCACTGACAGCGCAGTACAGTTAAGGCTACAAAAAGGGGGTGGGGTCTAATTTGTATGGGAAATATTAACTATGACATCATACAAAACTAACAATTCTTGAAAATACCACAAAATGAAATAGTTGCTATTATAAAATGTAGGAAACCATCAAACTACATTAAAACTTACTTCAACATGCTGTTTTGTCATTGGATAAATCCTATATAGCAAGGTATAAACGAGTCACTGATCGCAATGCACTTGTCAATATGACGTCATTTCGTAAAACTTGACGCAGTTTGTATGCAGTGAGAGGCAGATCAAGTAATATTTTCACAATGAAAAATGTGTTTTATAATTAGATAAAATATTATTTGCAGATATTTAAGAGGGCATTAACTTGGATTCATGTCTTTAATTGATACCGCTGTATATTTGTATGCAAGTGCATCGGAGGGTAATGTAAGTGTCTTAATAAATCAATCTAGTGGAAGGGCATACACTCAATGGATCATAGTATAAGCTTTTACAAATAAACTCTAGAAGTATTAAGGTATTTCAAAAGTGCTGCGATCCTGGTGAAATCTTGAAAATGAATTAATTATGTCTACATTTAATGCCGTTGACCAGCAAAAAATTGAGCATGCGGCCATACAAACATGATTTCAACAATGAAAAAGCAGAATCTATACAGGATCGTAGCACTTTTCAGAAACTACGTTGCGTGTTGAAAATATTCATAAACTTAATTTAGAATTTTAACTTGGTTATGCCCTTGCACTAGTGAAATTTATAGGTGACCTTCAATACTAGAAGTTTATGTGCTTAAATCACGTGACTGCCACATCACGTGACAAGTTTAAATATAAAATGTAATTGTCCTCAATATGTAGTTAATAACGATAATGACATATAACTTATATGAATAAAGTACTAAAAAGAATCGCCATCCTGATTAAAAATATATTTTTAAATCATAAAAATTGCTGATATTTACATTGGGCACCTTAACTGTACTGCGAGTTAAGCCATCAGTTGACCTATGATCTTCACTCACTGACAGCTACGCCATCAGCTGACCTAGTATCTTCACTCACTGACAGCTAACCATTAGCTGACCTATGATCATCACTCACTGACATTTAAGCCATGAGCTGATCTATGATCTTAATTCACTGAAAGCTAAGCCATCACTTCACCTATGGTCTTCATTCACCGACAGTTTAGCCATGAGCTGATCTATGATCTTCACTCACTGAAGACTAAGCCATCAGCTAACCTAGTATCTTCACTCACTGACAGCTAAGTCATGAGCTGACCTATGATCTTCATTCACCAACAGTAAGCCATCAGCTGACCTTAGGCTAGTATTTTCACTCACTGACAGTTAAGCCAGATCTAGGAGATCACTCACTGACAGTTACGCCACAAGCTGACCTAGTATCTTCATCACTGACAGCTAAGCCATCATTTGACCTATGATCTTCATTCACTGACAGTTAAGCCATGAGCTGATCTATGATCAATCACTGACAGCTAAGCCATGAGCTGACGTATGATCTTCATTCACTGACAGTTAAGCCATCAGCTGACCTATGATCTTCACTCACTGACAGTTAAGCCATGAGCTGATCTATGATCCTCAGTCACTGACAGTTAAGCCATCAGCTGACCTATGATCTTCACTCACTGACAGTTAAGCCATGAGCCGACCTATGATCCTCTCTCACTAAAAGCTAAGCCATCCCATCAGCTGACCTAGTATCTTCATTCACTGACAGCTAAGCCATGAGCTGATCTATGATCTTCATTCACTGACAGAGTTAAGCCATACTCTGATTGCACTATCTACACTCATTGACAATAAAGCTTTACCCTGAATTTCACTATCATTGACAGTAAAGCCTTACCATGATCTTCAGCACAAATGACCTTTAGCTTTTATACAATATCTTCCTACAACTGACAGTAAATCTTTACCCTTATCTTCACTATATGTATCACTGAGAGTTAAGCCTTACCCATATCTTCACTGTCTTCATCATTACTATCTTCTCCTTCTGAAGCCTCTTCATCTAGAAAGTCAAGGGCTGATAACTCTTCTTCATCATTTTCATTGTAAACATAATCTTCATCATCATCATCTTCATCTTCATCATCATCATCATCAACATCTGTAAGTTTAACCTTTTTTGCCTCTTTTCCACCTTCCTTCTTCTTCCGTTTTGCTCCCATAGCTGCAGGATAGGATAAAATACACTTGAAATTTTATATATAACAATGAATGAAAAAAAATGTTTGTTAACTGCAACAAATTCCAGATGATATGAATTATTACTCATCCATATAAATATTTACACTGGAGGAGGGCCATGTTGTCTTCATCTTCATCCTCATCTGATTCTTCATCTGAATCACCAATTAGTTCTGGAGCTGAAATTTTAATACGAGGTATTGAAATACAAGTTTTATTTCTGAGCTTTTCCTGTACTTCTTCTGGTCCATTTTTTCTTTAAACTTACAAGAAAAGGAAGTGAAGCACAAAGTAATCATGCTAATCTGGTAAAGAAACTTAAAAGACTTGTATAAAAAAAAAAACTTTGGTGACATATATGAATATGCATGCTTCTGCACAGATTTTAATGGAACTGAAAATGCCAACCATCTGAAATAATTTTTGCATAATTTAAGAGTAAAAGACATTTCATGTGTCTCTTTTTGGCTTGTAATTGATGACTAGTTTGGTAATCATGTAGTACTTAGATATCATGTGTGCTTCAACTTCCAAACTTCACTATACAAACATACCAAAACAGCCACTGAAGATAAATAGAAGGCCTTGCTAGAATGTTGACCGACAAACTTATTCAGAACGTACTAAATAATATGCAAACATAAATTCATGCTTTTACATTTATATAAAAAAAAATAGCAATAAATTATTAAAATACAGGTAAACTTCGGTATCTCGACATCGGATATGTCGACAACCTGGGATATGTTGACGTCCTTCCACGGTCCCGGCAGTATTTACTATATAAATGATTTGCAAAAACTCTGATATGTCGACCTCGGCTATGTCGACAACCCGGGTTATCTTGACGTATATTCACAGTCCCAAGAGCAAAATTTACCTGGTATATGTCGACATCGGCAATTTTCTGCTCTACTGAACCTAACTGTTTGTCAGATAGGGTCGCTCATCACGCAAGGATGACTCCAGGTATCTCAACGTCGTCAAAATTTCACACCTTTCACACCCATGTTTTGACCCCACGCTGCTTAATTAATTCTATAGACTGTGTTTGTAGGTGAATCCCAAGCCACCTCGGCATCTTTGAGAAGTTAATTGCTTAATGTTCAGCTTGGGTAATATCATTGCTAAATCTACACGATTCTGCGTAAATGTACAGACGGTTATTTATATCGAAACCTAAATAACTTTTAAAATTGAAAAAGGTAACTAAATTACAATGAATAACAAACACACTGAATAATTCAAACGCCATTTTCACAGTATTTGTGCTAATTGTGTTGCACTTGGACCAAAAAATAAAAAGTCATACAGCACATTATTGACATGTTTTCTAGAAAGTACAATACCTCTGCACGCGAGTCCCAAATTTTTTTTATATAGCATTCTTATGAAAAAAGTTATGAGAAGTCAAATTTTGGGTAAGATCTAGTGTTGCAGACACTACATTACACCTGTTATATCTAAAATAAAATATTAAAGATATTTATTTATTCCAAAATTCTTGCAGGTTTCGATTATATATCTGATTGCAGTGAAATAAAAGAAAAATGTTATCATAATGGTTCTCTTTGAAAACAAAAATTTTATTCACATTAATGACTTGCTAATTTTGTTGCCTAATTTATCTCCCATCCTTAAGTTTATCTACCTTTACAATTACACATAAGACCTATATAATTATCATGTGAAAATTAAATTGAATGATTCTAAATTTCAAATACATCTGTCATAACATCCTGGATATCTTTGTTTGCATCTTGTCTAGCTTTGAAAATGCATGGCATTTTTGTTGCGGACACTACAAGTAACCATAAGAATAATCTTTTGTCATTTTTATAAAAATAATTGTTGATAAATGTTCATTTCTAGGCTGAATTACATACCACAGGATCAACTCTTGAAAATGGACAATATTAAAAGATGTAGAATGTGGTTTACTGAGATGAAAATAACCACATAACAAGGACTATTAAATATTTCTTGATGTATAATTGTTATGCAGTTTAAAAAAATGTCTATGATTTCACTTATGTTAATACAATTCAAAAAGTTATAACAAACAGTTTTATAGATAAATTCAATGAATTAAAGAATTTTCTGAGGTATCTATAATTTTTTTTCAGTACTGAAATTGTTGCGGACACTACAATATATTGAAATATTGCTAAATGACACCATATTTGGTTTGAATGGAGTAAACTGAACATCTTAATCTCCAACTAGTTCTATATGTACGGTAAATGGTATTATATTATAGGGAAATAAAAAAGGCTAGTCAAAAATGGTATTTTGGCCTAGAAAATAAAACCCATATATATACCAGTAAGTTTGAAGTGTTATCTTGTACAAAAATCACCATTTGTTATCTTAATCCAATTAACAAACTTTATTATCAAAGGAGCTAAATATCAGAGAAGTATTTCATATTTCAGAAATATTTAATGAAATAAAAAGTGAAAATAATACATGAATGTGTTATATAGTTATTAATGTAGTGTCCACAACACAACTGCATTAGTTAGAACTAGACTTATTAATTAACAATTAACATATTGATATATTCTTAAGGTTCCTCTTACTCAGTTTTAAATACCACATGAAAATTGACTTTCAATATATAACATAAAACTGACAATTGAAAGATTTTGAATAATATGTATTAACATGTCGTTATGGGGTGTTATTCAAAGTCTGAAGTTATAGTTCAATTAAGTTTTGTAACCTTACATGTTGAATTGAATATTTGGATAATTATAGTGATGGTCAATTGAAATCATGTTACATTTCCTTGAAAAAAACTTTGAATTAAAAAAGTTGTTGCGGACTCTACAGCGTTGCGGACTCTACAAAACACAATATATCTGCCAGAATTCCAAGCAACACTGAGTTAAAGTCTAATATTTTTTGGTAGATAGATTAGTAGCTGCACTGGCTTCTTATATGTAAAATAAAAGAAATATAATTCATAATGCATTCCAAAATAAGCACATGTTGCGGACACTACAGAATTTTGGGACATTTTTATGCCAGTAAGAAGAAAATGTGTCATTTTCTAAAGTTTCGAAGAATCCACTCAAACTTTTCTATACTGTTTCATTTATCATTTAACTCTATTTTTAAAAAGAACCTAAAGTAATAGTAATGCATTAACATATTTTTTTATAATTGCAAGTTCAAACAGTAGAATTACATAAAATTTCATAACGTATCTGCATTTTCACATATTTCAACATTATTTCGTTAATATTTTGTTGATTTACATAAAGTAAATTGCATATAAAAGAGGGATAATTTCACAATGATTTGACATCTATGACTAAGAGTTTCTATTGTAAATCTCCTGAAACAAAAACTGGATAACAAAGCCATTTTTCAGCTGCAACAGCATAACACATAATATACCCCATATTTTCAGTAGTAAATCTTCAATATTTTTATTGTATAAAAGATAGGAGTGTTGTATATCATTTAACTTGTTAGGGGTACCATTTGGTCATAATTTGGTCATACTTGTTAAGGGTTTAATCATATACTTTGATGCAGAGTGCATTATAACATTAGTGAGTATGAAAAATCACAAATACTGTGAAAATGGCGACACTAAGGAATCAAACGATGTTTTAATGATATTTTGTAGTTAAAATGTATTCAACAGGAAACAATCCAATTAACGACACGATTGACCGAATCAGCCGTAATTCATGCATCTGTAACATCACTAAGTTTGTGTAGATACACAAATCTCTTTAAAAAATTAATTTTAATGTACATTCTTCCTGAATGAAATAAGAAAAAAATAATCTACATTTAATTCGTTTCCATAAATCAGATGTCGACTTTATAAGGTTCGAAGTTTATAGAGCGCATTTCGTATCCTGTTCTGACAAAAAGGCAAGTTACGTGCAAATGCTGTAACTTTGTGCTGAAACTTTGTGAATTTAGAAAGATTTCGATAAAGAACACGTTTTATAAATAAGTTTTTTAGAATAACTTCTTAGGTTTTTATTAAAAATAGAGGGAATTCTGAAATATGTTGAGCTACAGTCTATATTGAAGTCATGTACGTACAATAATCTTGTCTGTTTTTCTATGCAGGGAAATCCTGGACGTCAAGTCTCAACTCTGATATCTCGACACCTTGGATATCTCGACATTTTCCGATGGTCCCGTCAATGTCAAGATAACGAAGTTTACCTGTAACTCCAAATGTTTCTCCAAAGGGAAACTTTTGTGACTTCAAAATATATAGCATAACTGCTTTGGTAATTCTTTTCCATCAATAAGGGGTTGCCTTAACAATCATACGAGTATAATACATACTTTTCAAGGCTTCATGGAATGGCAATTCAATAACTATATAATTAAAATTGATGGAATAAGGATGAAGATTTGTTGCTCAAAAACAAGAAATCAACAAAATAATCTGATAATCAGCAACAACCAGGAAGTAGAATCTATTTACTTGTATAGAATGTGCTAACTACTCTATTGACATCACCAAACTTAACAACACAGTATCTACATTGTAAGCTCACTCTCCATACTACTGGCCTCTCTTTGATTTTGAATGTTTAAGGTAGTACACCTATATTTTTGTCTGATTGTTATTCTTCTATTATTTACTCAGTCTACCTGACCATTAAAAACTATAAATTTTTTTTTTGTTCTATACCATGTATGCAGTAAAAATTCTTGCTTATTTTTTAAAATTCAATTTACCTATCAATTACATTATTTACCATGTTTACAGTGATTTATGATCATAGGTGAATCATAAAGAAGAATAACTTCTCATAAAGCAGAGTAAAAATTTCCATACATGATCATGATGAAAGAGCATGATATAAACAAAAGATGTTTGTGAAACACCTATGCCCCCCCCCCCCCTTCCTTTGGACATACATTATAGGGTGCACAAGCCTTTATTATGGGCAGTATACATTATGGGCAGTGTACATGGAAATGAAATTGACCTCTTGAACTTGAAATCAATAGGGATCATCTACCGGTACTATCTGAGATGCAATGCAGCATCAACCAGAAATAGTCTTCTACATCACATCTTTGGCAAAAACATGTTTCTCATGATACATCAGTAATTAATTTGCTCAACCTTTGCAGAGATAATAAATGGAAAGCAAATAATTAGAATTTTTCTAAGTCCAAGGGGCATAACTCTGTCAAAAATTGCTCGATTGTACCCAAAACAGAACTTGACCTAGATATTCTTGTGATAAATCTGTATACCAAATTTCATTTCAGTATGTGCAACCTCTGCGAAGAAAATGAAACTGTCGGTGGACCAACAGACAGACAGACTGACCGACAGACAGCAGCAAAGCAATATGCCCTCCCTTCTTCGAAGAGGGGCATAATAAGCGGTCACCAAGCATGATTGGAGGTAATTCTCACATGTAAAGGTGCTTTTTTTGAGAAAATAAATTTACCTGCCTTTCGGATTTATCTGATTTTTAATTTTACTGGGCCCCAATCTATTTTACTGTTTTTTTTTTTTAATTTAGTTATTACAGTGATTGAGTTAATATATTGCTTACCTTCATCCGAGTCATCATACATTCCCTCCATGTCTTCTGGTTGATCTTCTACCAGGTACCCAGTCAGGTGAACTGAACCTATAACACACAAACATACAGACTGTAACCAAGTGTCTGGTCACATCACTTAGAAATCACTCAAAATTATACAAATTAATAAATTATTTATACAGAAAACAACAAAAAAAAAAGAAAAGAAAAGGCAATTGCTTTTTAATGTTTTTTCCCCACAAGTAATATACTGTGTTCAAACTAACATCTTGCTATAAGGATGGTTAAAAAATTAAACTAACTAAGTGAATATCTGGCATCTTTCACAAAAAACAACTACAGTAAAACACAGTTATAGCGAACACGCTTATAACGAATTGACACTTACAGCAAAGTAATTTCCATTCCCCTTGACTTTATTATATATTGTAAACTTGACAGATATAACAAATTACGCTTATAACGAAGCAAAATCATCCGTCCCTGATACTTTGTTATAAGCGTGTCTTTCTGTATATGATAGAGCAACGTTTACATTATGAACTTACACAAGATGTTTGTGACAGGGATGGGGTAATGGTAATGTGTAATGGTAATTGACAGTAATTAATTACAAATTTCGAAGTAATTAAAAGTAATGTGTAATTGACCCAATTTTCAATTACATGTAATTGTAATTTAATTAATTACTTTCAAAAAAAGCATGTAATTCACAATTACTTTTCAATTACATTCAATTACACTCTGGTGTTTAATAAATGAGAAATAGCCCCCACCCCTTCAAATCCCATACACTTTATTCAAGAAAGATTAACTGATTTTTTTGCAAAATGTTCTATATTTTTTTTAAATTATATATTTCCTTTATTTAGTGAATTATTGTTTCCTCTTTTAAATGCATTTTCTTCATAACTTTTCAATCATATTTATCTCCTTGTTTATAATGTACAAATAAAATTAATAATTTCGATCAAGTTGTTTATGAATTGACACTTAAAATATCTACTCCAATGGCTTCTAATCCTTTTGTTTGCCATACCTACAGCTTGTGTTAGAAGTGATTAACAGGTGCTAATTAGTGCCCTAGGGTCATGTTCATATTGACAATGGACTTAAATAGAGATCTTACACTCATGTTGACTTAATCTAATGGTAGTTTTGACCACAGACATTGACTATGTCTTCCTACAAATCTTTTTTAAAATATATAATTTGGTGTTATAACATCAATTTTTCTATTTAAATAAAAAATTGTGGGAAGACAGTAGTTTGACACACAATATGTCAAATACTATAACATTTTGAGATGTATAGCTTAGGATGATGAAAAAAAGCAGGAAACAAGGCAAAGCGCATCCATTGTTTTGCATAAATATATCAGAAAGCTTAAAAACGGACACATTGATTAAGGTAAAACAGCATCCAGGTCCTGTAAAAGGACTTTGTCCCAGTTGAAAATTGCCTCTTTCTTTCCCAAAATTCAGGTAACAATTCCCAGCTGATGACCAGATTCAATTTTTTGATGCTGTTTATGTATAGAAATAACATGTTTTGAAATTTTAATCATTTTTAAAGATATATATAGAGAACAAGTCCACTGTTTAACTCTTTAATCAACAAATAAATATAAGTCAACAGCATTTCCCAATTTTGCCACTTTTTCAAATTAAAATTCACAATTAAAAGGGTACAGGACCCTGTACCAAAAAGGTCAATTAAGCCCTGAAACTTGCTATTAGCCAGTATTTATGTATTCCTGTCACAAATGCCCAAGTGTAAAATATCATTGTGGCAGAAAAATCTTTAAACCTGATAGATGTAAGTTAGGTGACAAATATCTAAAAAATTCATTAACATCTAAACAATGTTTACTTCATGTAAAAAAAAAAAGTAACTGAATCTATCTGAATATAAATGAACTTTCATGACTATTCATCATTGTATATATTTATATGTTTTTTCTTAATGTAATTTGTAATTTAATTAATTACATTTGCAAAGTAATTGTAATTTAATTAATTACATTCCAAAATCCTTGTAATGGTAATGGTAATTTAATTGAAGGTTTTGGGCAAGTAATTGTAATTTAATTAATTACTTTCCTATGTAATTGACCCCATCCCTGGTTTGTGAAACACTGATGCCCCCATATACATGTAACACTCACTGCCAAAGTTTCTCAAATACAAGTCATACTCCAATGACATGGTCTAGAGGTCAAAATGTTTGTACAGTCATAATTACAACTAAATTGTACTGCAAAGTGAACAAAAAGAGCAGTATGTACATTATATGTCAGTGCTGGAAAAAGGTGAACTGGATTATTTAAATCATCACTTGACTTTCGTTGATATCTTAGAAACTCTGTGCATGTGAAAGTAAGAATATGTTCTAATTCTCTTGATTTTCGGTCTACCAACAATGCACTTCTTATGGAGATTTGTTTATGATTTCTTCACATTGGTACAATCATGGAAGGAGAAGCAAGCAATATTTTTGTGTTTGACCAAACAACAATTTTTTTGCTGTAAAATGATTCCTTTTTTTGGTTCTGAAACTTGCAATTGTATTCATGAAACTTAATACTTTCACTGCAAGAATTTTATTTTGTTCACATTTAGCATATTTTGTGTCACTGTCACAGTGTCAATTTAAATTAAGAAATTTTTTTTAAAAATATATATGCACCCAAGTGGTAATATTTGAATGGATTATCATTTAGAATGTTTGTAATGATAAGGGCACCTACAATACAGGAAAAATTTGGTATGTTGACACCGGATATGTAGACAAACTGGGATACACCAACAGTCCCGGCAGTATTTCCTCTATAAATGATTTGCAACAACTCTGATATGTCGACTTCTGTAATGTCAACTACCTCACTATTCACAGTTCAAAGAGAAAATTTACTTGGTATATGACTATATGTCAACATTGGGCAATTTTCTGCTCTGCTAAACCTGTCTCTTATAATGAGCGGACAACACTTGGTCTACCGACTGACCAAGCAACATACCAACCAACGGGTGCAAACTAATATGACCCTTTTATTTAAAGGGGGACATAAAAATGTTTTATTTTTCAGTAAATTACAAGCAATTAAGAACTTGAAGAGTTAGCTTTTCTGCAATTTCTAGAAAAAAATTTTCAATGCTATGTGCTCCTTATCCAGATTTGTCTTAACAACCATTTTTTTAAAATTAAATTAGATTAATATTAGAAATTAATTATGATACTTGTTTGTAGAAGTCCAAATGTAGTGGGTTTTTTAAAAATGTCCTTGACATTGATAAACCATATCCCATTAAATAACATAGACTATGAGTCGATCATCTTACCATTTCCTGTTAAGAAAAATGTGACCTCTTCTCCTTCTGTAAACATCAGATCCAGAGGTTGTTGTAGTACACCATTGTATCCCAGGGAGCAAAGCAAGAACTCGGCCTTATCTACACAGACCATTACACCAACTAAAACAGGAAGTAGTCGTGACTCATCATACATTGACGAAGTGTGCACCAGAAACTCTTTTCAGCACTAGCCCAGTTGGGCTAGCAATGGCCCGAATTACCTTTTACTAACCCTCTTAAAAGTGAAAAATGTTGCATTCTTTTAGATGAAATCAGCAAGGCTCATTATTTAATTTCAAAAATTAAACTTCTATATTAACCCTCTGTTTTGTCATTTTATTGTCAGTTGTTTGATCCTGTAATTAAACTGTCTTGTTTTACACAATGATGCAGTCTGCCGCACTATATAATAAACATTTCATCACAATATGTTCGTAATTTTTTTTGACAATTATTCAATATACTAAAATGGAAATGGATTAATATAACTGAAAATTCTACAAATCTGATTGAGCTAGTGCCCACCTGAATTCTACTAGCCAGACAATTGGACATAGGGCTAGTACTTTTGGTGCAGTACACTGTCGATGGAGCCAATTCCAACCAAAATGTCCAGTACAGCGTAATACTCTATACCTTATTACCTACATAAGTAACATCTGTGAAGTACAGACCTACCTTTAGAAGCAGGTGGTTCCATGGCAGCCATAGATATGTGGAATGATCTTTCCACAGTTTGTGTATAACGCTTTCCTCCATCTAGAGTCACGCCTAAAAAAATATATATTACAATTAAGCTGGTTATTATTAAGAAATACATGTAGTCCCAACACTAGCTGGTGCAGTCGATATGACTACATTAACAATAACCAGCCAATGTTTTCAGAGATATGTGAATTAAAAGATAATGCAGCAGACTTTTGTAAGATGAATCTTGGTTCCTTGAAAAATGGCTAACTGCTAGAAATTCTTTAAAGTTTTCAGAGAAAAAGCATTTGAAAAGATGCTTCTTAGAAGGACCATGTTCTAACATGATCACCAGCTGAGACTCTGACTTTCAAAGCCTTTCTGACCCAAAAGTCAAAAGTTTAGCTTAAAACTTCATTTTTAAACAAAGTTTTTAACTTCAATCTCTGAAAAAAAATTTAATAAATATTGTTTATTCATTGAAAAATCAACAAAAAATAATCGTCAACGAAGCGCAGGCAGCGCATGCTTTGTGCCATTTCTTTCATACTTAGCCATTTTTTCCTGTAAACAACCCAATGAGATGCAGTTGAAGCTAAATTAAGATCTTGCAAAAAATACAGATCCAACTGAATTTCTTAATAAATCTTAAAAAAAAAAAAGAGTCACTAACCTGTTCTCTTGGATGGAATGTGAGGACTAACCCAAATCTCCTGAACGGATGCTAGACTAACCCTAATCAGTCGAATACTTGTGCAAGACTAACCCTAATCTCTCAGATGGAGGCAAGACTAACCTTAATCAGTTAAATACTTGTGCAAGGACTAACCTTAATCTCTCAGGTGTGTGCAAGATTAACCCTAACCAGACGAGTAATGTGCAAGACTAACCCTTATCAGTTGATGAGTGACATAAATCTTGCTTCATAGCGTAATGCGCGCATTGATTTTGAAGCTCTGGGGATCGGTAAGGTAAAGTCTACCCAAAAAACTGATTATTACTGGGAGTTAACAAAAGATCAATTTTTCCATTATTATAAGTTGATAATCAAAACAACACTATAATCATGATATTTACAGTGTTTGTCTTGTCCATTAATGCCTTACCTATATTCACATATATTTGATTTAATACATAATTTGGTGGAATGAAGATTTTGTTAATTCATCAACATCTAAAAAGAGTTTAAAGGAGTACATGTATGTGATTTATATAAATGTTACATACCACAGGCACTTGTTTCTGTAATAAATTTTTTAACCCATAGTATAATAATAACACAAGGTATCCAACTCCGAATTACACGGAGTACCCCCCTCCCTCAGAATCACACTCATTTACAATTTCAGAGGACATGCACTGGCAAACTGTTTATACCTATGTCTTCTACGATAATTTATCTACACAACCATATATGGCATGCTTGTCTTTATTTTCTTTAGTCTCCGTAAACAGCGTCAAAACTCTGCTCGCCGTGTGGAAAAGTTGAATTCAACCATGAAATGGTATGTGCTAATCCCGCACAGAGAACAAAATTAAAAAATGAGTGGGTTTAAAAATTCAATTCCAGTGTTTAAATATTGCATGAGTAAAAAGAACTTGTTTACGTCTGATTTTCCCTGAAAACATTACGATGTTTATCCGATGTAATTTTAGAAACAGATTTTTAGCCAATCAAAATCTCTGTTTACGGAGACTAAAGAAAATAAAGACAAGCATGCCATATATGGTTGTGTAGATAAATTATCGTAGAAGACATAGGTATAAACAGTTTGCCAGTGCATGTCCTCTGAAATTGTAAATGAGTGCGATTCTGAGGGAGGGGGGTACTCCGTGTAATTCGGAGTTGGATACCTTGTGTTATTATTATACTATGGGTTAAAAAATTTATTACAGAAACAAGTGCCTGTGTTACATACATATGCATAAGCCATATATAAGCCCCACTGTGCAAACTGTTTGCAGTCGGAAACTTAAAATACATCAGAGTAAAATAAAAAGAAATTAGCATGAATTATAATGCTTTTTACCTTTGTTTTGAACGTTCTATTGAAATTTAGCTGAAGGGTAGCTTTTGAAAGGGATGTTTTTAAAAAAAATTTCGGGAGAATTTAAATCTCTAGATTCTACCACGTGGTTGCCAGCTGATCCTGGGTTTTTCTCTTTAATTTAGTGAAAAACCTTTACAGTACTGAAGTGAAACTCTTCATACATATCACTCATAAAGAATCATCTTTTTTTGTCTGTTTTTTGCAATGAATAAGTGCACTCTATAATCAACAGTCTCACCCCAAAACATTTTCTGTGATTCTATCTCTTTCAGTACAACCATGCTTCAGTGACCGGTTTCCGTTAGTCGTAAATTTTGCACATACGACTTTTTTCATACCGATCAAACTTTCTCAAATTCAGTTAAAATATAAAGTGTACAAATTATGAATATTTGTTCATTCTTTAAAGCTATAATGTTACGTGACTTGAGTTTACGACATCAATTTTTGGGGGCTCTTTTGGTAATTAGTCTTACCAATGAAAGATGGCCACTCACATGGAAAACCTCATGTCAAAAATATTACGTGATTTCTTACAGTGTGCTAGCAAGCCCGAAGAGTTTTTGAGGTAAATTCAATACACTGAAAACCCTTTCTCTGTCTCCTTCTCTCTCAGACAAAAGGTGTCATATTTACAAAACTAATAAATTTGCAGATTTACACAGGTCCGACACAATCTCTTGATTTAGCTATAGATCTATAGCTTTATTAAGCTATTTAGAATAGCTTGATTTAATTATTTTATCACACTTTTTTCTTAAATGTGTTATTTTCTCAGCATGCACAAAAAGTAGCACCTGATGGTGCAGTGATAATATTCAACCTTGATCTCTTCTGAAAATAAAGTCACTCATCAAATTTTGTCTCCTTAAGATACTTTGTATTCAAAGTTCTAAGAGTTTTGGGGCTATATAAAGGAATTGATACAGTTACTTCTTCAATGAAATTATGAAGAAGGCCAATTATGGTCAACAAGGTGATTGATTTGTTATGATTCAGTACAATGAGTAGTTAGAATAATCTAACTGTGTCTCGGGACAAGCCCTCACCACAGTTAGAATACGTCCCATATACTTGCAATGTAGCAAATCGGAGTGAATCCACTCCGAAATGATTTTGAAGAATACAAAAGGAGTTGTACTGAAAATAACTACCAAATTAATCATAACAACCCTTTTTGAGATTGTATATGCCTTTTAACCTAAAAAATAATCCATATAAATATGAAAATTCAACTCATTTTCTGAACGTTTTTTCCTCGCTTCAAATTTAATGCCATGTTGACATTCGGATCTCTCTGGATTGTTCATAGAAAATGCACAGAGTTCCAGTTAACAACCGTGTTTATTTTGCAACATTGCCAATACACGGAACGAATTCTATCTTTAAACGGGGTCCGTAGGACAATATCATTTTAACGATAGAACGTTCTATCTATACAATGAGAAGCAATCATGCTTATCCACGTCTCAACGCACACAAGGTCGAATACAGTTACTCAAACAATGGAAATTCATCTTTTGCTTGAAAGTATTCAAATGCTGCAATGTTAAAACTATCTTTGATAGGAGTTGTTTTGATAGCCCATAGTACATTTATGAGTATAGTCAAATACTTGTGACTTTTTGTCTATTTCTTACAAAAAAACAACATTTTTCTGAAAAACTACACATAAATAGCTTTATCAAGCTATTTTGAATAGCTTAATAAAGCTATATAGCTATTTCAAGCTATATAGCTAAATCAAGCATTTGTTCTGGACCTGTACCAAGTTATTAAAGTTATACCACTTATTTATGTCTCTGACTCTCTGGTTGTTCAATTCAGTTCATTTATTGACAACACCATCATACATTGGCATATAGTCATGAATACAACAAACAATAACATACATAAAATCAATAAAAAAAAAATACTCAGCTTTCCTTTGAGTCAGAAAGTTTGTTGTCTGTGCATTTCCAGATATGTAAGAATTGCAGTTCTTACACATTGATAGCTTTATATTTCCCTAAAAGGTGGGTCAAAGTCATTTTTCAAAGACTTGATTCAAATACTGTATACAAAAATCTATTCAAAATTACCATGAACTTTTAAGCTGTAATCGGTTAATCACAAATAATTAAAAATCGCTTGCATTACAGTAAAATCACTTCATTTAACACCTTGCTTGGTTTACCTACGTAACTTTATTTAGCTTCTCGGAGTAGCTTGATTTAGCTTTTTTATTGCAAGTTTTCCCAACAAAAATTCTCTAGTACATGTATGTGACTACTAATATTTGCACTATGGACTTTTAAAAAAGCAACTCAGAGCAAAGGTAGTTTAAGCATTGCGGCTTTTGAACATTTTTAAGCAAAAGATGTATTTCCTTTGTTTGAGTAACAGACCCTGGAAAGGGGGGGGGGGCACTATGGATGATCAAAGTACATAGGAGAAATCTTCAAAAATCTTCTTCTCAAGAACAGCAAAGCCAATATCAGTCATATTTATATGGAAGCAATTATAGGTAGTGTATAGATTCAAATTGGTTCAAATCATCACCCCCGGGGTAGGGTGTGGCCACTATGGGTGATCAAATAAAAAGGAGAAATCTTTAAAAATCTCAAGAATAGAAAAGGCATGACTAATTATATATACAAGAAGTATCCTCAGTTAGTTTAGATTCAGGTTTGTTGAAATCATAATCTCTAGGGGAAGGGTGGGGCTACAATGGGCAATCAAAAGTTTTACATTGGTATATACAGGAAAAATCTTTAAAAATCTTCTTCTCAAGAACAGCAAAGCCATGATCAGTCATATTTCCCGGTATATGGAAGTATCCTTAGATAGTGTAGATTCAAATTTGTTCAAATCATGACACCGGAGTGTAGTGTGGGACCACTATGAGTGATCAAACATGGATATAAATAAAACAAATCTTTTAAATCTTAAGAAAGTGAAAGCCGTATTAATCATAGTTATATGTATAGTGAAGCATCCTAGTAGGTGTTGATTCAAGTTTGTTCAAATCATGACCTCTGGGGGTAGGGTGTGACTACAATGGGGATCAACGTTTTACAGGGCATATATACATGTAGAGGAAAAATCTTTAAGAATCTCTTCTAGAGAAAATCAAAGCCATGATCAATCATACTGTTAACGCACTTTTCTCCACAGGGATATAATTTCGAGGAATCATAATTTCTTTTCAATCCTTGTGTAGAAAATTACGCAGAACTTCTTGGATTGCCTTTGTATGTCTTTTATGCACTTTTAGTACGCTGTGACAAATTTCCGTGGAAAACTTGTGGCCGCATACATAACGTAAATTAATACCACGCGGAAAAAAAGTACATCTATAGTACTTATATGGAAGCATCCACAGGTAGTGTATGTTCAGTTTTGTTCACGTTATGACCCCCGAGGTAGGTTGGGGCCACTATGGGTAATCAAAGTTTTACATAGAAATATAAATAGGGAAAATCTTGAAAAAATCTTCTTATCAAAACCTGCAAAGCCATGATCAGTCATATTTATTTGGAAGCATCCTCAGATATTGTACATTCAGGTTTGATTAAGTCATGACTCCCCGCGATAGGATGGGGCTACAATGGGTTTTACATAGGAATTTATGGGTAAAAGAATCTGTTGATGAACAAGAAGGGCCATAGCTACTCAGATGAGCATTGTGGCCCATGGACCTCTTGTTTGACTTTGATTCAAAAAGAATAATTAACCCATCATAGAGTTCCTTGAGTTGATGCTGTAAAATTTTATATGAACCAGTGTTCAAACTACTACTGGTATATATATGCTAGTTACATCCAAAATCAAAGGAAGGACTATGAAATTGTTTGTTTTTTTTTTCGTAGTGCACAACCTCAACTTTTTGCCCAGTTGAAGAACATCACAAAGTCTCTGTATGATCTTAGTAAATCGGAAGAGTTTGGTCAAGTTTGGAGTGAATCGGCACTTCCTGAACTCATTGTGGATAATTTTGATGAGGAACAGATTTGGCAGCAGTTAGAACTTCAGAACAGTGGAGTGATTGATCATTTATTAACAAAAATAAGTCATTTAGTAACAGCTGTAGAGAAACAACCCACAGAAAGATTAAAATGTAAATCAGACAAAAGTTATCCAGGTGACAAGAGAACGGTAAGTTTTGAGGAGGTTGAAAAAGAAGAGGAGGAAAATATTGTCAGTGATGACAGTGACAGAATTGTGTTCAAAGGGAATAATGTGTTGGACATTGAAAGTGATGATGATAGTGAAATTGACTTTAAATTTCCAGAATCAAATCTGACTCTCTTGGAGGATAGGGAATCCGAGACAGATGAGGAAAACCTGATTAACAAAGAGACTTCTAAATCAAAAGGAATGGAGAACAAGAAAAGGCAGGGGAGGAGTGTGGTGGATGACAAGTTCTTTAAGTTGGCGGACATGGAGAGTTTTCTGGAGCAGGAGGATGCTCGAGAGGAGAGGAGGAGGAGGGGAGAGGAGAGTGATGAAGATGAGGAGGATGTTGATATGTTTGCAGACATCCCTTCTGATGAGGAGGTTCGGAAGTGACTTTCTGGTTTTTATACGTACATGTATACAGTCATTATGGTGTTCATCAAAAGAACAAGGTTCACTTAAGGCCTTTTTTGGCCCTGTGAATTTCTGAAAAACTGAAACTGCTTAGTTTTTGTTGACAGTGCATTAAATTTCATTTAGACATTTGGCGATTGCGAATCTACCAAAAATGACGTAATTTTCTGGCTAGTCAATGCATAATGACGTCATGAAATGCATCATTTTCCTCATATCCTGAACAATTCTACAAAAACAGCCAATTTTTAAAACTATTTTTTGATATTTAATATAGAGCGCAATCTCTGATCTAAATTATACAATTTTTTACTGATATAACCGTTTCTGAGGATTACAAAACATGTTTTATTTTTTAGATCAGAGGGTGCGCTCATATTATTTTTCTTCTCTGAAAGTAATTAAATATACCTGTTTTCCTTAAAAATTCAAGAACATTGCAATTCAATTGTTTTCCAAGACCTGGATTTTAAGGAGAAAAATTTTAATAGGAAATGAAAGCACTAAGTCTCTACTTTATCTTGATGTTTAAAATGGAACATAAGGTGTTAGTTAATAAATTGGTATATCTACAGGGCCATTTTATGCATAAAGTGAACCTAGCTCTTTCCCATAGTTATGTAGAGTGTACATGTAATATTTTAATTTCAGTCAATCTTCAAAATTAACCCCAGTGATGATTGATACAGATCCGTTATCAGAAGCATTATTGTTTAAGGTTTTGCAACTCAATTATAGCTTAAAGTAGTAAAAACTGTTACTATGTACAATTTTATTGTTTCTAAATATGTGATATAAAATAATGATAAATGGTTTTAGGAAGGAGAAAGTGGGAAGCAAATGTATTATGAAGACTTTTTTGATCCTCCCGAGGAAATGGAGAATTCAGACAAACAGAAGAAAAAGTCAAAAGATTCCAAGCGGTAATTCTTATGAGGCATTTTTCCTTTCATTATTTAAAATTGAGTAAATTTACTCTCCATCTCTAGAATTCACATAGCAAGAAATTCTAGGAAAATCATACATATTTTATCATATAAACTTTTATAAGTTTTATAAGTGTCATGTAGAGGATGCATCTACTGATAATTAATTGAAACTCTTGCCAATTCGGCCACCTGATATTAATATCTGTGGACCTGCTCCAGATCCTAGATTTCAGTTTTGGGTAGGTACATGTACTTGGTAGCAAGATATTTTTCTCTCCATGTGACCAAGTCTAAGAAGTGTGATCTTCATGATGACCTGCCAGTCATTATTGTGAAACTGTTTTTGTGGAAGTGTTAAACTCATTATTTTCAAGATCTTGAGGAAAATTTTCTCACAAACCCCATCACCCACTAAAGAATGTTTTAGGTTTTGAGCTTCTTCACATTGTAATTTAATTGTCCCTTGTGATATACAGTAGCATATTTTCATGAACTATATTCTGGAAGTTCACATACCCTGGTACATGTATTGTAAAATTTAGCACTACAGGAATTTAGACCAGAACATATTTTTGAAGAAGGAAAAATAATGGAGACAGTTGATTTTTTTCATTAAGTTTGATGAAAATTAACCAGATATTAAACCAGAGATGTAAAGATAACAGAAATTCAAAAGACAGCTAATGATGAATAAATACCCCGCTAGTAGAAGTTTTGAAACCATTAATTTAAAAGCATTTTTCCAGAATCTCGCTATTTTTAACTCAAGAACTTTTTCTGCAGTCCCTTAGACTTTAGAGTTTTTGAAAGTGAAGTGTTAGAGCAAGGTACCGCAAGTGAGTAATAATATGGTCTGTAAGCCTCTTGTTAAAGATAAAATGCTTTGAGTCATAGAGCATCAAAATGTCATAGGTAAAAGATGTAATATTTGATACAATATTTGACCAAAAATTTTACCTTTGGAAGTAGAAAAGACCACCAAGAAGAGAAGAAGGAGGAGGAGGGGGAAATGTTTGAGGAGGAAGAAATGGATGAAGATGATGGTACAGAAGAAGAAGAAGGGGATGATATTGAAGATGATGAAGAGGAGGATATTGAAGAAGACAATGCTATCAGACAGAAACCTAAGGATCTCCTGGACTCTGATAGTGAGGGTGAAGATCCAGATGATGTTTTGGGCAGAAAACCACAAGAAAAATCAACATTTGAGAAACAGCAAGCCCAGGTAATGAGTAGGAGTGAAACGGTTCACCGCGGTATCGATGCACCGCGGTATTTTTTCTCAGTTTGATACACGGTGCAAAATCTCTAATTTTCGGTTCGGTTCATTTTTCGGTCGGGATCGTTATTCAGTCGGGTTTGGCATAAGGTATAACACGTTACTCAGAATAAATAAGTATAGAAAACGTAAATTTTTGATGACTGATAGCTTGTAAAATAATTTTTGACAGTCAAACGATTTTAATCAATTTCTTCTAGTCAATTTGCAAATAAAATTCGTAAAATATGTGACTAGATTTAGAAAAAGAAAGCATAAAACAACGTAGAATTTGTTTCCTTCTATCAAAATGTATCGTATCGAAAATAACCGAACCGAGACAAAATTATACAATACGTATCGAACCGTGAAGGAGGTGTATCGTTTCACCCCTAGTAATGAGATTTGATATTGTCAGCTTTGTCAACATCTTGTGCATTAGAATGGGGGTAGAGGGGGAGGGGGTCAATTGTCACCATATTGAATGAATTTAATAGCTACCTGGGTTATACTGTAAAATGTAGTATGGAGCAGTTTACGCTTTATAAACCACAAAGCAGTTTATAAAATAGTGTAAACTGTTCCAAAGCAGGTTATACTGTATAAATTGGATAGTTATTAAATTTTGTTTTGATTATGCCCCCGTAATCGAAGATTCGGGAGCATATAGTTTTTGTCCTGTCTGTCCTTCTGTCTGTCAGTCGATCTGTTTGTCTGTATGTTTGTCCACAAAAACTTTAACCTTACCCATAACTTTTGATTGGTTGGAGGTATGGCTTTCATATTTCACATGTGTATTCCTTGTGACAAGACCTTTCTTTGGGTACCATTGTATTTGACCTTTTGACCTTGATCTTGGAGTTTGACCCACTTTTGCAAAATTTTATGAGACTTTTACCTTGGCCATAACTTTTGAACAGTTGGAGCTTAGGCTTTCAAACTTCACATGTGTATTTATTGTAACAAGACCTTCCTTTGAGTACCAACGTCTTTGACCCTTTGACCTTAACCTTGGAGTTTGACCTACTGTTGTTAAAACTTTAACCTTGGCCATAACTTTTGAACAATTTGTGCTAGGTCTTTCATACTTCACTTGTATACTCCTTGTGAAAATACCTTTCTTTGGATACCACCAACTTTGACCTTTTGACTTTGACCTTGGAGTTTGACCTACTTCAATTTTGAAAAATTTAAACCTTGACCATAACTTTTGAACAGTTAATGCCAGGGTTTTCATACTTCACATATGCATTTCCTGTGGGAAGACCTTTCTTTAGATACCATTAATTTTGACCCTTTGACCTTGACTTTGGAGTTTGACCTACTTTTGAAAAACTTTAACCTTGGCCATAACTTTTGAACAATTGGTGTTAGGTCTTTCATACTTCGCATATGCATTCTTTGAAACAAGTCTCTTTAGATACCAACAACTTTGACCCTTTGACTTTGACCTTGGAGTTTGACCTACTTCAATTTTGAAAAATTTAAACCTTGACCATAACTTTTGAACAGTTAATGCCAGGGTTTTCATACTTCACATATGCATTTCCTGTGGGAAGACCTTTCTTTAGATACCATTAACTTTGACCCTTTGACCTTGACTTTGGAGTTTGACCTACTTTTGAAAAACTTTAACCTTGGCCATAACTTTTGAACAGTTGGTGTTAGGTCTTTCATACTTCGCATATGCATTCTTTGAAACAAGTCTTTTTAGATACGAACAACTTTGACCCTTTGACCTTGAACTTGGAGTTTGACCTACTTTTGAAAAACTTTAACCTTGGCCATAACTTTTGAACAATTGGTGTTAGGTCTTTCACACTTCACATGTATATTCCTTGTGACAAGACCTTCCTTAGGATACCAATAATTTTGGCATTGACCTTGACCTTAGAGTTTGACCTACTTTTAAAAAATTTAAACCTTGGCCATAACATTTGAACATTTGGTTCTACAGCTTTCACATTTCACAACCATGTTTATCACTTGTGACAAGACCTTCCCTTGGGCACCATTTGACCTTGACCTTTCTTTGTTACTTAACTTGGAAAAACTTTAACATTCGCCATAATTTTTCATAGGTTTGTACTAGTACTAGGGCTTTCATATTTCACAAGAGAAGACCTTTCTTTGGGTACCAACATTTTTGATTTCTTGACCTGGAGTTTGACTTGCATTTGAGAAACTTTAACCTTCGCCATAAGCTGCCATACGGGGGCATCAGTGTTTCACAAACACATCTTGCTTTTTATGCCCCGCCATGAATATGGCCGGGGCATATAGTGTTTGTCATGTCCGTCTTCCATCCTTCTGTCCTTCCGTCCTTCTGTCTGTCCTTCCGTATGTCCTTCCGTCACACTTTGCGTTTAGCTCTGTTCAAAGCTCAGTTTCAAAGACACTATCCAAGATATTTTTATCAAACTTCATATGCTGATAGATAATGATGAGAGCTATGCAACTGCATCAACATTTTTTGACCTTGACCTTTCCTTTGACTTGACCTCACTTTTCTTAAATTAGTGTCAAACTTCATATGCTGATACATACTGATGAGAGCTATTCAACTGCATCAATATTTTTTTACCTTGACCTTTCCTTTGACCTTGACCTCACTTTTCTTAAGTTAGTGTCTTTAGCTCAGTTTTAAAGAAACCATACATAGTATTTTTATCAAACTTCAAATGCTTCAGACCCTAAAACGTGCTTCTACACCTCAGAAACGAACCGTACCGTTCCGTGCAAGAAGCGTACCGTACCGTGCAAGAAGCGTACCGTACCGTACACAAAGCGAACCGTACCGTACACAAAACGAACCGTACCGTGCAAGAAGCGTACCGTACCGTGCACAAAGCGAACCGTACCGTACACAAAACGAACCGTTCCGTACAAGAAGCGTACCGTACCGTGCACAAAGCGAACCGTACCGTTCATGAATAATTTTTGAAATAATTATGCAAGCCACGCCCCGATCTTACGATGACCAATTACAGGAAGTAATTTTTTTTATTATTTCTTTCGACGCAGCGCCCGTTAAAGAAGGATGGAAAATAACTTAGAGATTCAAAATATTATTATTTAGTTCCATGCATCTGGACTTACATCTGTTAATATAAGGAAACTACTCAAAACTAATTACGACTTCAAAACAACTCGACAGAGTGTGAGGCGATTCCTTATTCGCTATGCATGATCGGGTTGTGCTTGACTAACTTTTTTTCATATTAAATGCAGCATCGTAATATTTTCGTGTACAATTTATAATAAATAAAAGTGAATTAAGTACTTTATCGTTTATTTCTATAGCTTTACTCTACCCTATTCTTGTCTCTATGGACGTTCTCGGAAACTAAGACAAATTGAAAAATGTATTAGGATTCTGTGCTATTTTCCGAAATCAAGCCCTTAGTTTCATTTTTTATTCATGTAAGTAATAGTTTTAGGGAGAAATGATTACAAAAAAAAAAAAAAAAAAAAAAAAAAATTACGAAACTAAATTGTCAATTTGAAACCGGACATGTTCAAATGTAAACGCCTCTCAATCAATAGAAAAAAATAAAAGCGATGTATATATAAATAACTGTTGGTTTACACTCTTCTGACCAACCTAAGATGTTATCGCCAATATAACATACTGTCAAAAGGTTCGATCGCCACATTTTCGCATGGAATTTTCAGTTTAATACACGTAATCAAAAAAAAAAAAAAAAATGGATATATGTCAGAATTAATTTTTATTTAAAGTATTTTCCCATTTCATTTGCTTTATTCACTGAAACCTGCAGGTAAAATATGTTACCTGGAATTTACACGTAAAGCCAAGATTAATCTTTTTCTTTTAATGATTCGTCCGTGCATGCATGTTCATCCATTTTTTTTTTAAGAAACACTGTACATTTCTTGACATGATCTTGTTATCTAGACTGACGTCTTTCCATACTTTCGTTATTTACTCTAAAACATTTGAAAATTTCGATCAAGTATTGTCACCACACGTGCACAGGTAAAAACTTAAACTGTGTATATTGAACCGTATCTAATCCCGTTAGTCCAAATATGCCTACATTCACACGTGTATCAACAGTTTGCTGTCTTATACAGTAAGTCTACAACAATGAACCCACCAGTTTTAATCAGCAGATAAGTAGGATTTCATGTGCAGACAGCTTTTTTTTTTCTAGATCTTCAATACAAAAGTTGGAGTTTGACAAGGAAACGAAGGGGGGGGGGGGGGGGGTAGCACCCGGCATGGGCAAATTATTCATTTTCAAAGTTTTTAAGGACATACATGGCTGCATATTATTTATTTTTTAGGTAATTAAAAACGGACTATTTATTTCTACCATTTTGACATATTATTTATTTCGGAAATCTTTCTTTGCAGTCAATATATATTAATATACATTTATACATTGTAGATGGAATTGAAGCTGTCTTAACCATTTTCTCGATTGTAACTTCCCTTTAAAAAGCATTTTTACACACTGATGGAAAACTTATGTAAAAAGGAAAACAATTCCGCGCACAAAAATTAAGTTATTTTTTGCACTAATTGTGTGCACTTCTACCGATTACTTTTCAATGTATTTTTCCTAGTGAGCCAAACACCTAAGCAATCTATGTAAAAAAAATAATAAAATAAAATTCCTCACAAATTAATATGAAAACAATAACTTATTTTTTTAATTGTTTCTTTGATCATTCGGTCAAGAGAAAATTTTTGTTGTTGTTTGTTTTTGTTTTTTTTTAATGAAGCAACAGCGGCAAGAATGTAAAAAGAATGGTAGACGAAATGAAAGCATGAGGGATTTATAAAATCAAACTCATTTGTTTAAAACTGTGATAAGTCAGTATTTAAACTAATAATTGTATTCAATTAGGAAAATTGAAAGGAAATAAAAAATATATGTACGATTATTCTTTAAAAAATTACAGAAAGGCCTTTATGGCGACGCAACCAAAATATTTTTTTTCATCCTTGTTATGCAGTGTTTGTTGATATGTTCGATCTATTTCAAAGTTATTGAACCATAAGGAGATGGTGTACAAAATGATAATAACTAGACAGCTAAAATTATTCATTTCAAAAATTAAAAGTAGTTCGAATACAGAAAGTAAATTAAAAAAGATACAGTTAATAAGACGACTAGTTACATGTAATAACGAAAACACAGCTGTAAAAAGGAAATATTTATAACAGCTTTGACTAATTAAAAACAACTTATTAAAAATGCTTGCGATACCGTCCTTCCATTTATATAAAATAAAGAAATTATAATAAAGAAATAAACGACTTTATGAAGTAGCCAATCATAAACTAAAGCGTACAGGCTCCGCCCACTTAATTTACATACCGTTCACCAAAGCGTACCGTTCACAAAACGAACCGTTCCGTGCAAGAAGCGTACCGTACCGTGCACAAAGCGAACCGTACCGTACACAAAACGAACCGTTCCGTAGAAGAAGCGTACCGTACCGTGCACAAAGCGAACCGTACCGTTCACAAAGCGTACCGTTCCGTGCAAGAAGCGTACCGTACCGTACACAAAGCGAAACGAACCGAACCGTGCAAGTGGTGTAGTAGCACGTTTTAGGGTCTGTAATACATGATGTAACCATTTCAACTGCATCAACAATTTTTGACCTTGACCTTTCCTTTGACCTCACTTTTTTTTAAATTAGTGTCAAACTTCATATGCTTATACATACTGATGTAAGCTATTCAACTGCATCAATATTTTTTCACTTTGACCTTTCCTTGGACCTTGACCTCACTTTTCTCAATTTGTGTTAAAATGTTGCATTACTAATATACCCTCGGCGGGGCATTCATGTCCTATGGACATATTTCTAGTTAATAAGTTACATGTAGAGGGTGCATCTACTGATTTAAGTTCTTATGATTTAAAAATAAAACAATATCCCTTTCAGAAACGACTTCATATTGTACAGAATTATAATGTCAAGTGGATTGATATATTTTTGATGCACACATATTGTGACATAGGAAACACAGGTTATACAATATATTAAATCTAATTTTTCTATCAGATGGCACATAACAACCAAAATTAAAATATATATATTTACATTCCACATGTATTTTCGTTATAAAGTGTGTGGAAAACTTAAGCATTCAAAACACCATAACATGGATGGGGAGGTCAAAAGGTTAAGTTAATTTTTATTTTGACGTCACTAATTATGTACGCCATGCAAGTGCATGAGCAAAAATCACAGTGATGGCTGTACAGACAAATTTTCATAATGCGCTAAGACATTTATTGGATCAAAATTCATGCTAACAAACTACCTACATTTTTCAGCTCAGGAAAAAAATAATAAAAATGGAGGAGGCAAGTCTAGCAGAAAAACAATGGCAACTGGCAGGAGAAATTGGAGCCACGGATCGACCTGAAAATAGTTTGTTAGAAGAACACCTGATGTATGACCAAACTGTCAGACTTCGTATGTAAAATACTAATTCAGTCTGAATATATGTACTTGTTAATTATATTGCTTGCTATGTGTGATTTACATATAAAGATCTCAAACATTTTTGAAGTGAATAAATCAAAACTTTATTTTTCATTAGAGATAATGACTTTGTACAGTTTTTTTTTTGTTTTTGTTTTTGTTTATTTTTTTTTTTAAATATTTGAATCTCAAACAGTTATGAAGTGACTCAAAAAACTGTGTGTATATGAGATGGTGAATTTGCGATTAATTCAAAGTGAATTTCATAAATAAATTTCCTTTGACAGCCCCAGTGATTACAGAGGAAACAACCCAATCCTTGGAGAGCATCATTATACAGAGAATAAAAGACAAGGTGAGATATAACAGATTGTTATGTTGTGTTTATAACACCAACAATTCCATCAACAGATGTATGTCACAAATAACATTGTAGATTTTTTATAATTACTATATGCAGCATTAAATTTGCACAAGATTATCTTTGCAATAGAAAAAATGTTCTACTCCATTTTGATTTCAGTTCTCTGTACATAAGTCATTTTTCAACAATTTTCATCAAATGTAGGCATATCAAAGAACATTCTACTTAGACTTCTTTCACAAAAACATACTATTATTCTGCAGGCCTTTGATGATGTGGAGAGGAAAGTCAAACCCAAAGAGAATCCATTCGAGTATAAAAAGAGGATTGTACTGGACCAGGAGAAGAGCAAGATTAGTCTTGGGGAGGTGTATGAACAGGAATATCTCAAACAACAGGTAGGTGAGCAGAAATATCTCAAACAACAGGAAGGTGAGCAGAAATATCTCAACAACAGGTAGGGGAGCAGAAATATCTCAACAACAGGTAGGTAGGCAGAAATATCTCAAATAACAGGTAGGTGAGCAGAAATATCTAAAACAACAGGTAGGGGAGCAGAAATATCTCAACAACAGGTAGGTGAGCAGAAATATCTCAACAACAGGTAGGTAGGCAGAAATATCTCAAATAACAGGTATGTGAGCAGAAATATCTCAACAACAGGTAGGAGAGCAGAAATATCTCAAATAACAGGTAGGTGAGCATAAATATCTCAACAACAGGAAGGTGAGCAGAAATATCTCAACAACAGGTAGGTAGGCAGAAATATCTCAAATAACAGGAAGGTGAGCAGAAATATCTAAAAGAACAGGTAGGGGAGCAGAAATATCTCAAATAACAGGAAGGTGAGCAGAAATATCTCAAACAACATTTACAGGGAAGTGAGCAGGAATATTTCAAACAACAGGTAGGTGAGCAGGAATATTTCAAACAAAAGGTAGGTGAGCAGGAATATTTCAAACAACAGGTAGGTGAGTAGAAATATCTCAACACCTACAGGTACATGTAAATGAGCTGGTATAACTCAAACAACAGAACATGGGGAAAATTAGGAGGAATATATCAAAACAACAGGTGAGTGAGCAGGGATATCCCAATTCTCAAACAACCTCTACAGGTAGGTAAACAAGAAAATATGAACACATGTGAAGGAGCTGGAATATCTCAAAAGATACTGGTAGGTGATGTAAACCCTCAGTATACAGTCCTAGTGCATCAAACAACAAATATTTAGACTGTAACAGGCAAATTCATTTGTTGGTAAGGGAATGGTAACTCAGATTTAAAAATGATATTGCATGTTTAATTTGATTGTGTGTTATTTTGTACAGAAGGAGGAGGGGGAAGAGAAAACAGAGCCTCAACATGAAGAAATCAAATCAATGATGCAGTCCCTGTTTGTCAAACTGGATGCTCTGTCCAACTTCCATTACACCCCTAAGGCAGCAGCTCCGGAGGTGAAGATAGTGACAAACCTGCCCTCAATAATGATGGAGGAAGTAGCTCCTGTAACCCAGGGTGATGGAACTCTGCTGGCTCCTGAGGAAATCAAGGTTTAAGACTGCATCTACCCATTTTTTATGTTGCTATCTCCCTTAAAGAGTACTGTAGATGTACTTTTTTCCACATGGTATTAATTTATACTATGTATGCAGTCAGAAGTTTTCCATTGAAGTTTGTCACAGCGTACTTTAAGTTCTCTCAAGGGAAAACCGTAGCATGCTTTGTTGCTGTAGAATGACATAGATTTTCTCAGATTTGAAGTTTATACTTTGATAAGAATAAAGTATGTTTGAGATAAGGTCTTCAAGTTAAAAGGAAAGGTGTGTGTTGATATAAACCAAGAATATACAAGAAAGAAAAATTAATGTTAAAATTAAGTGTGTATTAATTATGAGTATAATCTGGGAAATTACAGGATAAAAAGAGAGGTGAGCTAAAAGGAAAAACTGAGGAGACGGAGACAGATAGGAAATCTCAGAGACGGAATAAAAAGGCCGAGAAGAGGAAACGACTTAGGGAGAAAAAGAGACGACAGGCTTTAGTGGAGAAATTAAATCCTGGGCTTGGAAACAAATATAGCAAGGAAAAGGCCATCAAAGAGTTAGAGAAAAGCAGCAAGTCAGGATCAGGGGTCACCATGCTCAAGGTCAGGGTTATATACAGTCAAACTTGTATTAAGCAGTCACCTGCGGGAATCATTAAAAGTGACCTTTATAGAGAGGTGACCTTTGAAAAGAGGTTCATCTTTTTTCAAGAAAAATTCTTTTCCAATTTATGTAAGTTCTGTGTTTTGAAACACTACATCATAGAATATAAAAGAAAGATGTGCTTTGGAAATCGATGGTCTCAGTTGTATTTTTAATTTAAAAAGTCTCAAGATTAAGTTCAAGATAAATTTGATGACTCCAACAAAAAATATATTGTGTCTAATAGGGCACTGCCATTATCTTCCCTCCAAACAACAACAAAACTTTCTTTTATTATAAGATTACATTATCATGTTGTGCCATGAATAAAATGCAATATATTTTTTTTATCTAAACTGCCTCTAAAAAAACAAGTTTAGTTAGTCCTGATAATTGTATGTAAATAGAAGCGTAATAAACAGACAAGTCATAATATTCTTAGTTTATCAAAGCAGTGCACAATACAAATTGATATCAGATTCACAGGTGTTGTGACCAATGAAGCGTGACTAATCCTAACTGTCCTCTTACCTAGTTGAAAATCACGAGATAATCAGGACACTTTGAGTAAATAAAACAGTTAATTAGGGTTTCTACAAATAATACATTTCCTATGTGTTAAAAACTGCCTGTCATGCGTGTACACAATTACACCTATAGGAGTTGGACATGCCAAAGTTGAACTAATAATTAGGAAACACCTAATTATTGTATCCATTAATAGATAAATGTAAGGATGCCTTGTGTATCATTCAGAATTTTTTTTAACCAGATTCCAATTCAATAAGATTAAGATTCTCGTAAGTCCGTTTTCCCGATAACCTTTTCGGCCACTAGCACCCTTGTTTAGCTTTGTTAAATGAATAAATAAATTATCCAATATTTTAAATGGTTTTAATAAGGCCAATTATTTTTTTCATGATCTCACTACACACGACCAATTTACATTAGTGACAAAAATTGCCAGTCACCAGACTTTAGATCTGGTCACGTGATCGGACAAAATGGCCGCTTTATACGAGGGAAAAAGGCGATTTTACATGAAATTTGATGACCGCTGACCGCATTATGCAGGTGACCGCTTAATAGAGTTTCATTATATAGGAAAAATCATTGGGAGGAAATAAAATGACCGCATAAGACAGGTGACCGCTGGATAAAGGTGACCGCTATGACAAGTTTGACTGTATTGAAAAGAAATGTTTCATCTTAATTTCTAAGAATTTTTGAAATATTAAATAAAATTATGTTATTAAAATTCTATAATCTTATGCTTTTATGTAATGTTTTGCATTATAATGATAGAATACTATTTGATGATTTACATCTTGTGTACTTTTAGGAGGACAAGCATGCTGGCAAACAGAAACTTGGATCCTCCAGGTCATTTTTCACACAGCTTCAAGAGGATGCTCAGTCACAGATCAAAAAACGAAAAACTGGTCCCAGCAGTAAAAAAACTGTACAGAAATCTGCCAAAGTATATAAATTATGATAAAATGATACATGTATCTTGTTTTGCTTCATATTGGAATTATCCTTCTGACATAGGGGATTAACTAATTTTAGAGGGAATCCCAGCTGATGTCTTATTTATGGGGAATCCAGCTAACCAGTAAAGTAAAAAATACAAATGTCACTCATTTAAAGATTACAAATATGGTATAATTCTAAGGAGCCCTGTATTAATATATTTCTCATCTTTGTTTACTGTCCATCTGTTAACACATAACCCATGTACCTTTTAACTAACATATACCTGTATTAAGCCCTTTGGGCTTTATGGGATTTGATCACATGACCAACCTGTGATAAGTTTAAAAATGATTTCTTATTTCTTAAATCAATCTTGATCAAATCAAGGTCCATATGACTAGAATGGGGCCACATTGGAGTAAAAGTATAACCAAAAATCGCTAAACATCATTTGAGAAACGACAAAAACAAAATCATGAATATTAATATTCAAGAATACCCATGTGCTCTAAATTTAAATTTGTTCAAATGAAGCCCAAGGGGCTAGGATGGGGTAATAATAAGGGATCAAATTTATTAAGAAACAAGAGGCCCAAGGGCCTTAAAGGTCACTTGGGTATAATGTTACGATTCATAGATTAAAACAAAATAAGCTGATAAATAAAGCAATGTTGCCCAAAGCAAGAGAAATAGGATAATCAGGAATCGGTAAAATATTAATTTAGTACACGATAACAAATCGTAAAGTTGATCTACTTACTTGCCTGTACTTTCCCCCAGTTATCACTATCCTCATATGGACTTAACAAAACAATAGTTCAAGAGCACTATTAGTTAACCCATTTCATTCCCCCTTGCAGTGGCCTCTCTTTGTCTGTAAAGATTATTTATTGTACAAAGATATGGTATATTTGTCCCATTTTTATTTATCTATAAGTTAAAAGTTTACCTGACCATTAAATCTATGATTGTACTTTTGTATTGAATATTATAAAATTTCTTGTAGAATTCTGTTATTCAGTTGTTAGCTCTTCTGAGCCAAAGGCTCAAAGAGCTAATGCTATGGCCATTTGTGTGGTGTGCATAAACTTATTGGAAAATGGGTCATATCTCAAGAACCCCTTAGTCAATTTTTTTCAAATTTATCATAGTATCCTTGGCCCAAGGGCTTTCATTTATACCAAAACTAGGGAATGTGTCCCTTAAACAAGGGGAGATAATTAGGGAAATAAAAACAATAGTAGTGGTTGCTAAAAAATCTTCCTCTCAAGAACCACAGGGCAGATTATCACCAGATGAGGATATGTTGTAGATTTAAAAATGTTCAAGGCATCACCCTGGGGTAAAGGGCATGGTCTCAAGGTCACTCTCAAGACCAAAATTACAGTTTTGTTTCATCTTTGATATTTTGCCCACTATAAGGCCTAAGATCATCAAATCTTGTCAGTTGATGCATCTTTGGACCTTGTCATCTTGACTCAAAAGTAGGTGACAGTGACCTACTTTTTGAATATTGCAGGTATTCATTTTAATTTTGATGCATAACTTGGATACTTTGAAGCTTATGACCATCAAAACTTGTCAATATATGCATCATGGGACCTTGAAGTGTGTCAACTAAAAGGTAGGTCACTGTGACCTACTTTCTGAATTTTATGGCTAATCATTTTCTAAACATTAAAGGTCATTATTTCAGATACCAAGAGGTTAAGAATCATCAAAACTTGTATGTTGATGCACTTAGGGGCCTTAAAACATTTAACAAAAAGTAGGTTGCTGACCTACTTTTGGAATTTTACAGGTATTCATTTTCAAATTGTTTAAGACACATATTTTGGACACTTTGAAGCATAGGATCATCAAACTTTGTCAGTTGAATGCACCTTGAGTCCTCAGAGTGTGTCAACCAAAATGTAGGTCACCTTGACCTACTTTTGCAATTTCATGGCTTAATTTAAATATTTCAGATACTAGTTAGCTAAGAATAATCAAACTTTGTCAGTTGATGCATCTTGAGTCCTCAGAGTGTATTGACCAAAAAGTAGATCACCTTGACCTACTTTTGTAATTTCATGGCTTAATTTGAATATTTCAGATAGTAATTGGCTTGGAAATATCAAACTTTGTCAGTTGATGCATCTTGGGTACCCTGAGTGTGTCAACCAAAAAGTAAGTCACTGTGACCTACTTTTAGAATTTGAGGGCTTTTTTGCAGTTATCAATTGGCATAAAGTCATCAAACTTTGTCTGTTATACAGTTTTGGTCCTCAATGTGACCTACTATTGGCTTTTTCAGTTATTCACTGGCTAAGAATCATCAAATTTTGTCAGCTTATGCATCTTAAGTCTTTAGAGTTTATCAACAAAAAAGTAGGCCGCTGTGACCTACTTCTGCAATTTCATAGCATAATTTGAATATTTCAGATACTAATTGGCTTGGAATTATCTAACTGTGTCAGTTGATGCATCTTGGGTACCCAGAGTGTGTCAAACCAAAAGTAGGTCACCATGACCTTATTTTGGAATTTGATGGCTACTTCAGATAGTAATTGGCTTAAAATCATCAAACTGTCATTTGTTGCATCTTGGGTCCTCAAAGTGACCTACATTTGGAATTTGATTGCTATTTCAGATACTAATTGCCTTAGAATCATCAAATTTTATCAGTTAATACATTTTTGGTTTCTTGGAGTGTTTTGACCAAAAAGTAGGACACCATGACCTACTTTTGCAATTCATGGCTATTTCAGATAGTAATTGAATTAGAATTATCAAACTTTGTCAGTTGATGCATTTTGGGTCCTCGGAGTTTGTCAACCAAAAAGTTGGTTACTGTGACTTTCTTGTGGAATTCTTGATGGCCTTTTCAGTTACTTATTGGCTTAAAATATTCAAACTTTGTCAGTTGAAGCAAGTTGAGTCTTTGGAGTGTTTCAACCAAAAAGTAGGTCACTGTGACCTACTTTTGCAATTTCATGGCTTAATTTGAATATTTCAGATACTCATTGGCTTGGAAATATCAAACTTTGTCAGTTGATGCATCTTGGGTACCTAGAGCATGTCAACCAAAAAGTAGGTCACTGTGACCTACTTAGGAATTTGATGGCTATTCCAGAGAGTAATTGGCTTAGAATCATCAAACTATGTCAGTGATGCATCTTGAGTCCTCAAAGTGTGTCATCAAAAAGTAGGTCACTGTGTGACCTACTTTCTCAACTTCATGGCTAAATTTAAATATTTCAGATACTAATTGGCTTAGAATTATCAAACTTTGTTAGTTGTTGCCATGCTGACCCACTTTTGGAATTTCAAGGCTTTATCCTTATATATAGGTTAGCAAGAGGCTTAAAACAGATGAAATTATTGGTTGTACAATTTTCAGAAGAGTGATTCTTGTTCTTTTAAGTTACATTATTTACAGTGATTAACTATTATAGGCAAATGGCAAAGGGGAATAACTTCTTTCAGTAGAAATTAATAAATTGACCAAAGGGTACAGACTTTCAAAATCTGGTAAAAACACCCCTGCTTATTGCAATTTTATATACTCTATTTTTCTCCTAGATGCCTAGGAGAAGAGGAGAAGATTTTAAAAGAAATAATGCATTTTCACTTTATAATCATTAGAGCCCCGCCCTAACACCAGAACCACTGACCCAGGGGACAAGAAATTCACAACTTTGGAAGAGGCACCCTTCCTCATCATAACTATGCATTTAGTTTGTTTGCTTAATACCTAGGAGCAGAGAAGAAGATTTTTAAAGAAATAATGCATTTTCACTATATATTCAACAGAACCCCATCCTAGTACCAGAAAACCTGACCCTGAGTTCATGAATTCACAATTTTAGAAGAGGGTTCAATGCTTATTACAGTCATGCCAACAGTTTGACTGCTTGATGTCCAGGAGTAAAACATAGGTAATCAGAGATTACAGAGCTCACCTCAACGAAAGTTGTCTTTAAGTAAGGCAACGTTCCACCCTAAACTAATAATCTAGGAGTGTGCATCCCTAGATGCAACATTTATGCAATTTTGGTCTGATAGGGCTTGCAGTTACTTGGGAATAGACTTATCTGAAAACTTTAAACTAGTCACTCATCCAGAAAATGTAAGTCAAATCCAGTATTCGAAGCAAGTTTGAAGATTGTTCGTCCCTTGATGCATCATCCATGCAAGTTTGGTTCAGATAGGCCTTATAGTTACTTGGAAATGAGATCTGCTCCAAAAACTTTAACCTGGTTATTCATCCAGAAAATGTAGGTCAGATCCAGCATCCGAAGCAAGTCCAGTAGTGTGAATCCTTAGACATATCATCCATGCAAATTTGGTCAATATAGGGCTTATAGTTACTTGGAAATGACATCTGCTCCAAAAACTTTAACCTGGTCACTCATCTGGAAAATGTAAGTCTAATCCAGCATCCGAAGCAAGTCCAGTAGTGTGCATCCTTAGATGTATCATCCATTCAAGTTTGGTCAATATAGGGTTTATAGATAAGATACTTGGAAATGAGATCTGCTACAAAAACTTTAACCTGGTCACTCATCCAGAAAATATAGGTCAGATCCAGCATCCGAAGCAAGTCCAGTAGTGTGCATCCTTAGATGTATCATCCATGCAAGTTTGGTCAATATAGGGCTTATAGTTACTTGGAAACGAGACCTGCTCCAAAAACTTTAACCTGCTCCAAAAACATTAACCTGGTCATTCTTTAGCTGAAATTGCAGCATCTGAAACCTTGACTGGTACAATAAAACACACTAGAAGCATCCTCCATGCATCTCTGACTAATATAGGCCATAGAAGTACTTGAAAAGAACACTGCTCCAAAAACCTTATCCTGGGACGCCGACGGTATTACATAAGCTCCCCCAACTTCGTTGAGGTGAGCTAAAAAGAAGATTTTGAAAGATTGCATTAGTTTTAGTGGTTTTGGCCCCACCCCTCAGGCCCCAGGAGGGCAAGGATCATGAAATTCACAATTTTTGTTCCCTTTTACCCATAGATGCTATATGCCAATATTGGTTGAGCGGTTTCAGAGAAGAAGCTGAAATGTTCAAATGTTAATGTTATGAAGGATGAAAATAGATAAACACCTTAAAAACTATGGTTTAAGTAAATTCTAATGAAGAACAACAGGTTCATAAATATAATTAAAATATTGGTCTGCAAGCATCCCCAGTATAGTAGGGCTACAATAGGGGATCAAAGTTTTACATTGGAATTTATTGAGAGATTTCGAATTTTTTGTTCATGAGAATAGAAGGGCCATGATAAATAGAGAATATTACATATTTTAATCCATATCATATGACATATCAGCCCGAGTAGCCCCATAATCCTACTCCATTTATAATGTAGTTCACATGAAGTCATTTAAGAATGTTTCCTGCATGACGTACCTTCTTTAAAATCTAACAATTTTAGGTCATTATAAACAAGTTAAATTTTAGTACATGAATTGTATTATTATTTCAGCAAGTTAATTAACTTCTAAACAAAGTTATTTTCATGGAGATAAAATTTCCTTAAAGTTATTTCCTGTTTGATATGAATTTTTGAACACAGGTTTGATACTTGATATGGGTTTCGGAACCAGTGGTCCAGGGTATTATAATGTCTCTCAGTGATTTCTGAAAGAAAATGTGCCTTAAAATTGATGAAAATTTGAATTAAAATGAGAAAATTCAAAAAGTTAACTTTGTATACCATAAGTGTGATGGATGAAAACAGGTTTTTCTGTTTTCTGTTGCATTGTTCCAATAGATACCCAAGAGTAGGGACCAAAAAGGTTTAAGTCATGTTGTCTTTTATTCAAATTATGGCCCCCAGAGTCAAGGTGTGGCCAAAACAAGGAAGTCAAAGTTTAATATATAGGTATATTTAGGGAAATAAGGTTATTCAAAAAATTCATGTCTCCAACTTAGGGAGAAAATGAGTGGAAGACTTAAACAATACAGAATGATAGAGAAAAAAAGAACACTGACTTTTCAACTTCTGGCCTTTAAATTAATAGGTGTCTTTCTTCAGTTAGAGAGTTTCATCACCTCAAGTTTCATTTCAAGAGCTCAAAGAGAAGTTATCTGGAAACTATGCAATATTTTCAATTTGTGACCTCATAGAATATTTAAGTCATTCATAGTGTTATGAACTTATGATCTGAAATTTCATGGCAAAAGTAAATAAAGTTATTATCTGGAAACCATTTTATGCAAAATATGAATTGCCTATCTTGACCTCTTGCCTTTTGATTTCATAATCATTAGGGGTCAAGGACTTTTTGAGATACTGCCTAGCAACTAAAGTGTTACACGCCAAGACAATGACAGATGGATAGATGGGTAGACCCAAATTAATATCCCTCCTTTCCCCTATACCCCATGCTTTTAGCAAAAGCAGGGGACAAAAAATATTCTCAAGAACAGCTTAAAGTGCCACAGTATAAATCATGCAAGCATCCCCAGATACTATTGTCTTTTCAAAAAAATTAAGCATACATGTATTTATTTTGAATATTATTATTTTAAAAATTTTAATAAGTATTAAATAGGTACAAGTCCATTAGTATCTACGATAACTTTAACAAACAATGTGTCCTCTCTTATATAATTACCAGAAGTTTCTAAGATAGAATGGCTGACAAACAAAGGACAGCCTGAAGCTATGTTCATTTCTGCTAGTGGGCGTTTAAAACTAGAACTACTTGGATCAGGTTTAAATGAATCAGATAAATGTCTTCTACTCCCACTCTGGTCAATAATCTGGAACGTCACTTTCTGTCGAAATGGCCATGGCAACAGGGCATCATATTCCCCCTGCATGACAACGAAAAAAATTGAAAAATGCGTTCCTTTGCCCATTCCATCACCGTTAAGATAAACTCGAGCACACATTTTGTATCCATAACGATTCGTAAAAAACGGTGAACTATAAATGGAGAGAGTCTTCCCTGACACAGCTTCTTGTTTTCTTCGACGGTAGTTTGTAATTTTCCAGAATAATACACCTTCATAATTTATGGTCTCTAAAATCTGAAATCGCAGATCTAACTCAGCCAATCTGGCATCCTGTAGTCCTAATGATCGTGTTTGTTGTTGTACGTCTGTGTATGGATCTATGAATAATGTAAAACTTAATTAATTTTACATTTGATTAAAATGACATTTAATACTATAAATCTACTATATTCATTTTAGTGGGAGCCTTAAATATATCCTGGCATCTATCTTTGTTCCTACATTTTAGGACACTTACAATTGTCCACAATTGCCACCAAAATATAAAATTTGTTGAGGAGACAATGTAGAAATATAGAGAGTGCTAAATAGTGCATGACCTTCAAATGTGTTAAATTTAGATTCAGCTACATAAACATGTATGATACATGTGTAAGAGAATGATAAACAGAATGATAAATCCTTACATATGTTTCTGAATCGGGACACTGTAGTTTAAATAATGGATATCCTTTGTGTGGCACCAACTTACATGTACACAAGCTTTCAGAGGATGAAGTCACAAAAACTTGTTACTTTCAACAAAAAACAAGCTTCAAAATCTTGGAAATAGGACATTTGAATCCAAAACCACAAAAGAAAATTGTTGAGCATACATGTATGTTTAAAGGATTTGAAATTGATATTTTCTCAAATTTTTAGTTAAACTACAAATTTTGCATTTGATTGACAAACATGTTATCCTTAATATTTAAAAATAATTGAAAAAAAATTAGTTGTGGATTAATGAAAAATATTAAAACTGTAATCCAGAAAATTCAGAGTAGAAATGTGAGAAAGCAAATCTAACACACCAGTATTGTCAGTCTGTGCTCAGTGATGTGTGCAGACTTTACAAATTGAACACACTCAGTAAAATGTAAACAATAACAATTACAGAACTCAAGACCATGTTTACAAATACAGATGTTTGATGTTACAGAAATGAACAACATTTCAGTGAACACCGTATTATGAACAACAACAGCTCTGCAGGCATATTCCATGACCCCATATGTTATGAAGAATGCTGTCACTGAATTTTAACAATTTTCATGTACTAAGTTCAATTCATTTAACTGAAGTTATTTTTCAAATAAAAATAGAAATAGAAAATTGTAAACAAAACAGCAATGCAACTGTGTCCAGGGCCCCGTTTTACAAAAGAACTTACGACTAAGATCAAAATATTATTATGTAAATAACTTTCCTTTTAGAATTACTATGAAAATAGTTTTAATCTTTTTGAAAAGATTTTAGAAAGACACTTTTATGCAAACAATTTTTTACAGAAACATACGTTTTGTAAGATTTTACAGTCAACTAAAGTTTTTAGTCTTAGTCGTAAGTTCTTTTATAAAACGGGACCCAGGCCCCTTTAAATGACAAAACAGTGAAAGTTTGTAGCTATGAGGACAAGTTGGCACCACCATGCGACAACAAATATGACTGTATGTTTTGTTTCACAAGGAGTCACTGCATGATTGTAAAGAGAACAATAGTGGACATACAAAAGATCCTCACTCTGATAACAGCTAACTCAACTAAAATATTTTTTCAACACACTAAAGCTTATATTTGTATAATATCATTGCAACTGACAAAAACCTAGAGCATTCCAGTATGTTGTGTACCTGAGGAGGCGGGGGTAGCAGTTGCAGAAGCTCCTCCCTGTTCTGATGAGTGGAGTGTCAGGAGCTCATTAGCACGGTCCTTCAAACTCCGGATGTTCTCCCTCAGAATGTTCACATCACTGATTGTTCTCTTGTAACTCTCTGGCTGGGCTAGTTCTTCCACCTGCTTCTCTGCATGGATAATCCGCTCCGTCAATTCCACCACATCAATCTGTTCACAGAAATTACAGTGGGTCTTTAATTTTTAGATAAGATGGGATCCAGAAAATTCATTATTATTTTTAAAACAGCTTCTTTCACCTCAAAGTCTTAGAGATGTGTCCTTTTTTTTTTTACAGGCTCATATTTTTCTCAACTATCATTTGAATTTGTTTATAATGAGCTCACCTTAAATTTCCGACTGTGTCTCCTGATATCATCAGCCAGTTGCCTCAATTCCTCTATTTCTTTTCTTGCTTCACTCACTTGTTTCTGAGCCTCTTGTCTTATTCTTTCCATTTCCTAAAATTAAACTGTACATATTTCATTTCCTCTTCTTGGCTTTATATTTCCTTAAATTTCAATCTGTTGTATCTTAATAATAGGAACTTCATTGTATATGTATTAAAATCTCACATGTCTTAAAATCTCATATGTCTTAAAATCTCACATGTATTAAAATCTCACATGTCTTAAAATCTCACATGTCTTAAAATCTCACATGTCTTAAAATCTCACATGTCTTAAAATCTCACATGTCTTAAAATCTCACATGTCTTAAAATCTCACATGTATTAAAATCTCACATGTCTTAAAATCTCACATGTATTAAAATCTCACATGTCTTAAAATCTCACATGTCTTAAAATCTCACATGTCTTAAAATCTCACATGTCTTAAAATCTCACATGTCTTAAAATCTCACATGTCTTAAAATCTCACATGTCTTAAAATCTCACATGTCTTAAAATCTCACATGTCTTAAAATCTCACATGTATTAAAATCTCACATGTCTTAAAATCTCACATGTCTTAAAATCTCACATGTCTTAAAATCTCACATGTCTTAAAATCTCACATGTATTAAAATCTCACATGTCTTAAAATCTCACATGTCTTAAAATCTCACATGTCTTAAAATCTCACATGTCTTAAAATCTCACATGTCTTAAAATCTCACATGTCTTAAAATCTCACATGTATTAAAATCTCACATGTCTTAAAATCTCACATGTCTTAAAATCTCACATGTCTTAAAATCTCACATGTCTTAAAATCTCACATGTCTTAAAATCTCACATGTCTTAAAATCTCACATGTCTTAAAATCTCACATGTCTTAAAATCTCACATGTATTAAAATCTCACATGTCTTAAAATCTCACATGTCTTAAAATCTCACATGTCTTAAAATCTCACATGTCTTAAAATCTCACAACAAGAGCCTGTAGCTACAAGTAATGTCTGGACAATTTTATACATATAAGAGTCCAGTCATTTTCTAGCATAGCATAAATACACCACCTAATAAAAGAGGTCATTTAAAACTATGTGATAAACTTTTCATGAAAGTGAAGAAAAGGTATCCCTAGTTGCTAAAGGAGATAGAAGCTTTTTTGATAAATCACAGACTGATCCAAACCTGAAGTTCTCTTCTGATGTCTATACTGTGTAGATCAATCTTAGCCATTTGTAACGTGACTTGTTGTAGATGTACATCTTGGTTCTGTCTCTCATGTTCCTCCACCTCCTCAGCAAGGCCCTACAATACAATCTATCTTAGTAACACCACCTCAACAAGGCCCTACAATACAATCTATCTAAGTATGACAACCTCTTCAACAAGGCCCTACAATACAATCTATCTTAGTAACACCACCTCAACAAAGCCCTACAATACAATCTATCTAAGTATGACAACCTCTTCAGCAAGTCCCTACAATACAATCTATCTAAGTAACACCACCTCAACAAGGCCCTACAATACAATCTATCTAAGTAACACCACCTCCTCAGTAAGGCCCTACAATACAATCTATCTTAGTAACACCTCCTCAACAAGGCCCTACAATACAATCTATCTAAGTAAACCACCTCAACAAGGCCCTACAATACAACCTATCTAAGTAAACCACCTCAACAAGGTTCTACAATACAATCTATCTAAGTAAACCACCTCAACAAGGCCCTATAATACAATCTATCTTAGTAACACCACCTCAACAAGGCCCTACAATACAATCTATCTTAGTAACACCACCTCAACAAGGCCCTACAATACAATCTATCTTAGTAACACCACCTCCTCAGTAAGGCCCTACAATACAATCTATCTAAGTAACACCTCCTCAACAAGGCCCTACAATACAACCTATCTAAGTAAACCACCTCAACAAGGCTCTACAATACAATCTATCTAAGTAACACCTCCTCAACAAGGCCCTACAGTACAATCTGTCTTAGTAACAACACCTCAACAAGGCCCTACAATACAATCTTTCTAAGTACTGTAGATTCCTAAATATACGCAAGGAATAAATTATCGCGTAATTACGCGAGAAGCACCACTCACAAAATAAAATTACTCGCCTTTATTTTTCTGGTGCTGTAATGTACAATGTATGTAAAATCTCTAGATAAATCACCGATTCGCGAATTATTGTTCCCGCGATTTGATGCCCTTGGGCCATTTTGCGATATTAAGTACTCGCATAAAATAAGGGATTTACAGTAAACCTCCTCAACAAGGCCCTACAATACAATCTACCTAAGTAAAACAACATCTACAGCATGTCCCTACAGTACAATCTATCTAAGTTACACCACCTCCTCAGCAAGGCCCTACAATACAATCTATCTAAGTAACACCTCCTCAACAAGGCCCTACAATACAATCTATCTAAGTAACACCTCCTCAACAAGACCCTACAATACAATCTATCAAAGTAAACCACCTCAACAAGGCCCTAAAATACAATCTATCTAAGTAACACAACCTCAACAAGGCCCTACAATACAATCTATCTAAGTACCACCACCTCCTCAGCAAGGCCCTAAAATACAATCTATCAAAGTACCACCATCTCCTCAGTAAGGCCCTACAATACAATCTATCTTAGTAACACCACCTCAACAAGGCCCTACAATACAATCTATCTTAGTAACACCACCTCAACAAGGCTCTACAATACAATCTATCTTAGTAACACCACCTCAACAAGGCTCTATAATACAATCTATCTTAGTAACACCACCTCAACAAGGCCCTTAAATACAATCTATCTTAGTAACACCACCTCAACAAGGCCCTACAATACAATCTATCTAAGTACCACCACCTCCTCAGCAAGGCCCTACAATACAATCTATCTAAGTAACACCACCTCAACAAGTCTCTACAATACAATCTATCTTGGTAACACCACCTCTACAAGGCCCTACAATACAATCTATCTTAGTAACACCACCTCCTCGGCAAGGCCCTACAATACAATCTATCTAAGTACCACCATCTCCTCAGCAAGGCCCTACAATACAATCTATCTAAGTAACACCTCCTCAACAAGGCCCTACAATACAATCTATCTAAGTAACACCACCTCAACAAGGCCCTACAATACAATCTATCTAAGTAACACCACCTCAACAAGGCCCTACAATACAATCTATCTAAGTAACACTTCCTCAACAAGGCCCTACAATACAATCTATCTAAGTAACACCACCTCTTCAGCAAGTCCCTATAGTACAATCTAAGTAACACAGATCTTAACTCCATCTTATATTGATGATAGCTTTATATTGATGATAGCTTTATACTGATGATAGCTTTATATTGATGATTGCTTTATATTGAGCTTTTCATGCAACATCATCACAATAAGGAGCAATACAGAATTTTAATTAAACTGCAACATAAAAAAATTAATATTTTTATAGGCATTTAAAATTAAGTTTCTCAAATCTTTTTATGTTCATGTAATTATTATGTTAGCAAAATACTGCATAAAACATCTTACTTATAAAAGGGGACAACTGTTATCTGTAATTAAATGTTGTTACCTGAAATGTACAGCCTGCAGAAGCATATTTACAAATCCGGGGCTTTTTTGGACAGATTTCCTGATGCTGTAATATCTGATAGATAAAAATTCACAACATAAGTATTTGCAGTTGGTGTTTGATATAAACAGAGGTTGTCATAGGATACACATTGTATCAAGAGCTACACTTGCATGTATTTGTGGTGAAAGATTATCAATATGTACACAACAGAATATTGGAAATCTATATGTACACAACCGAATATTGAAAATATAAGATATAAAATTAATATACCTGATCTCTTGGAAATGGGCCAGTATTACAGCCATATTCACAGTTTATGGGAATTTTCATACAGTTTTCTTTTTCATGTTCCTACATAAAAAAAGAGTTACTTTAACTTTGTAATTTTATCAATATGCAAAAGAGTAACTGTCCATCAAAATAATTGGGCATTTCATTTATGTATGTATTCATTTAATCTCCTAAATATCATTATTTCCTATGTAGCTTGTTACACAAGCTTTGATTGGTTACAAAGTTGGGTGTAAATTTTCGTACACCCAACTTGAGCTGGGGATAAAAAAAAAATGTGACATCACAATGCATAGTTTCTCTATGATAAAAAGCAATAATATGATGTCATGATGCATTGTAGGACATTGAAACACAGTTGATTGGAATTGTTTACAAAGAATTTATTTGGGTACATAGGAAATAAATTCATTATCAAGGTCCAATCAAGGGTGTATGGGGATTTACCCCAGGTTGTATTCCATACATCCTTTGGCCTTCGGCTTCAGGGTGTATGGAATAAAACCTGGGGTAAATCCCCGTGCACCCTTGATTGGACCTGGATAACTTATATTATTTCTATGAGGAATCTTATTTTTGCCATCTACAAAATACCCAATGATTCAATCTGATTAAAACCAGATCCTTTGATCTGCTCACATAGATCGCTACACAAGGATCTGAAGAAACCCCATTCAGGGTCATCTCCTGGTGACCTTTCAGTATCCAATCAAACGTTTGCTTCCAAGAATTTAGAAGTATTTTGGAATTCAGTTACAGAAGTGAAATCCCTGAGGATACACGTATGGAAAATTCTGACCTGGTTTCCGTAGCCTGTCAATTGAACAACCAGTCTTTTCTGTAAAGAATTATATTTAGTATTTGCTTTTGCCTTGTTTTTTATAGCTCTTTGTTTTGTACAAAACGATAAGATCTTCTCCACGGCTACTTTCACTACTACATTCATTTTCCTGAATTTCGCATAAGTACGATCTCTCTGATTGGTCAAAATTTTAATGAATATTTTCATTAGAAAGATCACCAGGAGATGAACCTAAATGGGGTTTCTTCAGATCCTTGTGTAGCGATCTATGTGAGTGAATCAAAGGATCTGATTTTAATCAGGTTGCCAATGATTAAACAAAGTATTCCTATACATCACTATTGCATGCATCTCAAAAATTCCAAAGTGATTAAAACTGAGAACCTTTAACTATTAAGGCATACCGGTAATGATTCTTTTGGAATGGTTTGTCCACAGTGTTCACACTGTATTGGGATGAATGGACAGACCAGCTGATGGTCAGGTAAACTCATTCTCTCCACCATCTCCTGACATCCCCAATCCTTGTATGGACAGGATAATGGTTCATGTGGACATTCTTCTATGTGCTTCTGAAAGTAGATTTTGATTAAAATTGAAGTAAATGAATAAAAATGCCCAGATCCTTAATAAAAAGGTCTGATTACCATTTACATGTAACACCATTTTCACTTAAACACATAAAACGCAGTTATAAAAATTATAAGGCACACTAAGTATATATTTGTTCAGTACATCAGACCTCTAGCTCTTTCCACTTGACAATTTTATGGCACCCCCGGAGTTTGTTTGGACAGTAGACCTTCAGCTGTCGTATCTCTCTACGAGCACTGGTATCTGGTATTATCTACAACAAACACATATGAAAAAAAATTAAATTGTTATTTCTGGGTCTAAATTTAAAACTGTGTATATTTTTCAATGCTACCATATTTTCCTAATCAAAATGATTTTTCTATAATGAATTTTAAGTGCCATACTTAAAATTAATAGTGATTACTTGATGATTTTCATTTTGAATTGAGATTTTCTCCACTTTATTATTTATAGATCAAAGTGGTGAGTTACAGTAAATGTACTTGGTTCAGTGGTGATTTTAGTGCCTTTGGTGCAGCTTCATGTCCACTAATTCACTCATGTCCATGCTAATACATGATTTACACTAAAACTTGTCATTTTCATTACTCAAAAGTGCTTTTATGATTGCACTAATTAGTTGAGGAGGAGGATTCTGCTAAATTTTGAGTGTATAATTTATGTATTACATTTACAGTAACTAACAACTGGAAACCAAGAAAAAGTAAAAGTCTTAGCCATAAGCCAAATCTATACCACAATATAACATGCCATAACTAAGCAAGGTCACTGTACTTAACATTCATCATATAGAAAATAAAAAAAGATATTTTATCAGCATTATGAATTTTCTTCAAGTTTTCAATATCTAACTTTACTTTTCTAGTAGACATTTTAATGCCTAGTATGTTTAACTAATAGCACATCATTAACCAATACTGTTCTTAGGAACATTAAATTTTATCACAAATTCAGCATATTCACCCCTTCTTTTTGCAGCATTTCACACATTTCCTCCTGGTAAGGACATTGTCTGTTGCCCCCACCCTGGAGGTAATTGTCAGAACACGCCTGACAGAGTCGGTGCCCGCACAGGGTTTGTACGGCATCATTAAGGACATTGTTACACAGGATACACATATACTTCTCATCAATTTTTACAAACTCTGGGTGACCTGGAGGAGTCTGAGAGGACAAACTGTTGGGAGGAGTTATCTGGGGGGTCAACATCGATTACTGATTCAGCTTGATCATTTTGGCTAAAGAAAGAAGTAACTACAAAATGAAATAACATGTTAGTATAAATATAAAATTTAAAAAATATCATTTTATGAGTACAATTAACTCAAGAGGCCCATATAGACCACAATGCTTTAAGTCCCATTCCAGGTTTCTCCATTCTATAGAAGATTTTAAAAGATTTTTCCCTCTTTATTCCCATGAAAAAAAAAATGGATTCTATATTCTGATACTTTGTTCCCATCCTAGCCCCAAACAAATAGGATTATTAAACTTGAATCCACACAACATGGAAATGCTTCAATTTCAATATGACTATTACATTGCCTTGCAGTTAAGGAGAAGAAGATTTTTAAAAAAAATGTTTTATTTCCTATAGACATGCATACAGTGAAATTTGCTACCCAAGTTAGCCAATCCTAAACCCAAGGTCCATAATTGAAAGAAAAAAATTAATAGAAATTATGAATGTTTTAATATCATTATGGTTTGATTTGGCCCTGTCGCTCTTGAAATTTACATTTAGTATGATACTTTTTCGTGGCCTCACCACATCTCCTTAGGCCATTGTTTTGAACAAACTATAATCTGAAATACCTGAGGATATCACTAATCATATCATGCTATATACTTGTCAATGAGAAGAAGATTTTTAACACACTTTTCCTATATATTCACATGTAAAACTTTGCTCTCCCACTGGGGCCCCACCCTATCCCTGGGGGCCATACTTTGAACAAATTTGAATCTGCACTACCTGGGGATGCTTGCATTGAAATATTTCAAGAAATTTCTTATATTCCCATGTAAATCATTGATTTTGATGGGGCCAATGGGTCTCTTGTTTAAAATATTCACTTCTTATTTACGATCTGCAATGAAATTAATATGTAATATGTACCCAGCCTCTTTTTTATATTAATGTTCGTGATTGCATGAGAAATCAAATGCTAGCTCACTTATTCTCATTTTATTAAAAAAAAAAAAAACAAAACAAAAAACAAGATGTGTTTGTGAAACACTAATGCCCCAGTATGGCAACTTAAGTGAAGGTTTAACTTTCTCCAATGCAAATCAAATATGTTGGTACCAAAAGTAAGGTCTTAATTGTCTTGAGGAATATACCTGTGAAATATGAAAGCCCTAGCAGCAACCATGAAAAGATATGGAAAAGGTTAAAGCTTATGACGTATCTGAGCTAGCAGCTAAAAATTAAAAATACGAGACAGAGTGTAGATAAATGTGATATATGTTATTTACGTTCAAATTAAAATTTTCACTGATTTTGAACTTGAATAACCTCATGTTTCCATAGTTAAATTGATTTTAAACTGTGTCTGTTAATTAAATGTGGAATCGGTAAATAAATTGTTTATTGTATTAAATTTCTAATATCTCTGAAACATGATTGATTTAAATTGTGTAATTTACAGGAAAGTCCTTTCTTTATATAAAGTAATAAAACAAATAGAAAGATCTTTTAATTTAGTTAGTCTGAACTTATAAAAAATATGCCATATTTGACTTTAAAGTTTTTCATAAGTAAGTCAAACATCAAGGGCATGGTAAAATGGTCAAAATTAATATTATGGTGCTCTATAGGAAAGGCCTTCTCACAAGAAATACACATGTGAATTATGAAAGCCCTAGAACCAACTGTTCAAAAGTTATGGTCGAGGTAAAAGTTGCATAAAATTTTGCAAAATTGCAAAACCAGGTAAAACTCCTAGGTCAAGGTCAAATATGATGGTACCCAATATTGAAAAGTCTTGTCACAAGGAATACATCAGTGATATATGAAAGCCATAGCTCCAACCAATCAAAAATTATGGGCAAGGTTAAATTTTTTGCGGAAAAAGAGAGCAAAAACTATATGCCCCCTAATCTTCGATTACCGGGGGGAGGGGGGGGCAGGCATAAAAATCAAAAATCATACCACAGGCGCCTGAAGTGTGGATTGATAGCCCCCTTTTTTTAAATTAAAAAAAATGTAAGAGCTTATAATTTCTCAATAATATAAAATTTCCCCATCAATCACATCTATATGTCGTTCTATGCAAGCAGATTGTATCTTTTCTTACATTTAGAGAATGGCCTTGTAGGGTATAATAAAAATTGGGTACTACTAAACAGAGAACCCTAGAGAACTCTAAAGAACCCTAGAGAACCCTAATGATTTTTAATTATTTATTGTTTGTAAATGAAATATTTATGTTTTAAATAACCAATATATCATACAAAAACAAAATAAAATTTTTAAAAAAGAATATTATGCCAGGTGTTATGCTTATTTTCAATGGAATACTAATGTATGAAGACTTCATCATACTTTGTGTTATTTTAATTATTTTTTTCAAATAAGTTTACGCCAGATTTAATGAATAAGAGTTCTATATAACTTAAAAAATAAAATTAAATAAAAAATAATGTGAAAAAGAATTGTAAAATTATGTGGTAAAATTATTATTTCAACAACGTATTTGAAATTCAGTCGGGATCGGGATGACATAAAATATTACACTAATCTATGGTGTTACGTTTTCAACTTTTTTCGAGGGAAAACAACCATAAAAAATTCACCATGTTATTGATTTTATAGATAGAATATGATTTATAAAGAAAAAATAAACTCAATTATGCAAAAAATTTATTTGAATTGACCAAATAAACCTTGAGTTCTTTAGGGTTCTCTAGAGTTCTCTGTTTAAATACACGTTTATTTTTACTATACCGTACAAGGCCATTCTCTCAACGTAGGAAAAGGTACAATCTGCTTGCATAGAACGACATATGGATGTGATTGATGGGGGAATTTTATATTATTGAGAAATTATAAGCTCTACATTTTTTTTTTATTAAAAAGGGGGGGGGGGGCTATCGATCCACACTTCAGGCGCCTGTGATCATACTTCAGATAAATGACTTATCGTAATAATAATTTTTTTTAGTGAAACTAAGCATACAAAACGAACAAAATATAATTGCTTTCGTATAGAACAGCTGTAGAAGGCCTCCCCACAATAGCAAATTACGTGTTTCTTTAAATAAAAAACAAAACATACAATTTTGAACAAGACATAGGCCTATGTAATGATAATAAAGAAATTATAGACGGACCCCTAGAAATTACAGACGAGCATCTAAGTTAACAAAAAATTATTTTACCCGTATTCCAATACGAATACCAACCTCACCTCTGGACGCTACCTACGATAAAAATAAACGGGATTTTCCAAGTTAAAAATAAACACGGACTAGTTCCTCCTGACTGGAAAGCGGTAAATCTAGTCTTCCCGACTCCCGACGGTCCCGGATTTTAGTTTTTTATCGGTGCACAGAAATTCTTCAAACTTTTCAGGCACCTTTCCTAAGTTTAAATGAATTCATTAATACATAAAACCTTAACAAATTTACGTATTCAATACTGAATCAGCAGTATCACCTGCCAAAAAGCGGTAAATCTAGTACTCTGTTATAAATGCGAAAACCAAAGACGGACATTGATATATAACGGAGACGTCAGGTTTCGTAGATATTAAAGATATTAAAGATAATCAAAAAAATATTGATATTAATTGGGAAGATATTTTCTCTCAAAAGATGGATTTAGTATTTCAGTGAATGTGGGAATAATTGCATGGTGTTATCAAAAAAAAAAAAAAAAAAAAAAAAAAAAAAAATTAATTCTATAATAACCCATAACATCAAAGTGATTTTTAAGTCAGCTTCCTTAAGACATTTTTAATCATAGAAAATTTATTTAATACAATTATCACTTCGGTAACTTAAGTTATATTTTAGCAGTGTCAGCTTGGGTAAAATAATTAAATTCCTAATCATCTGATACAGTTCAAAGTGAAGAGATATACAGTCCAAGCTATAGTAACTTTGTTGTGCCTGGGAATACTACTAGTGAAATATATGGAGATAACGAACAGTATTCAAGCTCAAAAGTCCATTAATCAATACAAAATAGGAGCAGAGCAAACACGGACCTCCAAACGTCAGAGGTGGGATCAGATGCCATGGAGGAGTGAGCATCCCCTGCCGACCGGTCACACCCGCCGTGTGCTCCTTGTCATGATCGGGAAATAACGGAAAAATCCGTCGACAATTCAGTGTGTAAATAATGGCCTAACAATTAGTGTGAAAAACGTCAGTCAGCATTTGACTCAATGATAAATTGTATTTGCTGACAAGGTCATTGTATCGACAATAGAACTTACGAAATGATGACTTTAAACGAGACAGCTGATATTCTTGTTTCATCAACTTATTTGTCAATAATTTACCTCGTTTTAGAAATTGTACATATGTAGAGCATGCTCTTGCGTATCGAATCAACTGAGAGATATATACCCCGTATGCAGGTGATGAAGGTATATTGCTGCATAAGTAAGGGAAGATGACGATTGAAAAGTTAAAGTCGTCACGTTTATCATAAAGCTTGGTTGTTAGATTACCATCAACGTCTTTTTCAAGTAAAATTTCCAAATATGAAACAGATGTGTCAGACTCTGTGGTATCTTTTATCTCAAGTTCACAAGAATATATCGTATCGACATAAGAATGGAAATAGCTATTGTTAATTGACAATACGTCGTCGATATATCTAAATGTCGAGTTGAAGGCCACAGCAAGTTTTTTCTTCTTTTCACATAAAAGATTTTGGACAAATTCTGCTTCATATGAATACAAAAAAAGGTCTGCTAATAACGGGGCGCAATTGGTACCATGGGAATTCCAATAGATTGTTGGAAGACCTGGTCTCCAGAAACCACATAGATATTGTCAATCAGAAACTCAAGCATCTTTTTAATGTCAACTTCAGAGTACTTGTGTGAACAATCAGAATGTTTTTTAACAAAATAATTTTGCAAATGACTAATGACGAGGTAAGTATATTTACGAGTTCCATTTTTATTGAAAAAGCAGCTGTCAATGACATCAAAAAGCCTGGACTTTAATTTATCGTGGTGAATGGTTGTGTACAAAGTTGAAAAGTCGTAAGTTTTTAAGCGGTTGATTTTGGTAAA